ATCTGAGGGCTTTCAGTGACAACGTCAGGAGTCAACTAGGCATGGTGGCTCACACCTGTAATTTCATCACTTTGGGAGGCTGAGGTGGACAGATCACCTGAGGTCGGGAGTTCAAGACCAGCCTGGGCAACATGGTTAAATGCTGTCTCTACTAAAAATACAAAAATTCGCCAGGTCTGGTGGTGCACACCTGTAAACTCAGCTACTTAGGAGGCTGAGGCAGGAGAAACACTTGAACCAGGGAGATGGAGGTTGCAGTGAGCCGAGATTCCAGCCTGGGTGACAGAGTGTCACTCCAGCCTGGGTGACAGAGTGAAACCCGGTCTTAAAAAAAAAAGAAAAGAAAAAAAGTGAGGGATCATCAGATGCAGCTGCCTTTACTTTGTACCATTGGGCCCATTCTATCTTTGATACATGGTACCACACAGTTCTACCTTCAGGAAACAGTCTTGGTTGTTTCTCTACTTCTCTGTGCACATGTGTGTGTGTGTTTTCTCTGCAAGAATATTATAAGTTCTTCCAGAATTAGGAACCCTACCTCCCACTGAGTCTATCTTCCACCCCGCCCACTCCCCAGCAGCAGACTCTGATGCAGGAGTCTAAGTACACACTGTTGATTTGGAAAGTGATCCCACTAGGGGAGTTGGGAAATGAGGCAAGGAAGAGAAGGAAGCCAATTATGTGTGTTGCTGAGCGGGTTTGCACTGCAGACAGCTAGGTACCTTCAGAAGACTGGGCAGAACCTGCCAGGGTTAAGCCCCACAGGAGGCAAGGAAGCTGATGGTTACCCTCCAATGCTCACTCATCATTGGCTGGGGCTGCTCTTGGGAGTATCGGCTCCTGAGCACTTGCAGCCCAACATGTGTGCAGAGAAGAAAGCCCTCAGGCAGAGGATCACAGAGGAATTCGTAGGCGTGTGAGGAAGTCAGGGCCAACAGGAAATTGGGGGAGTATGAGGCTTATGATTGTGGGCTTTGCAGTTAGAAAGTCATGGATCTGAATCTGGTTTGGCCAGTTATGAGATTCTGGCAAGTTCTTTATCTCTCTAAAGCTCATTTGCCTCCTCTGTAAATTAGGGATAAGAATAGTCTGTCTCACAAGGTTTTGATTCAAAATGAAACACTTACATGAAATGTTCAGTACATGCCTGGTGTGTGGGAAGCACCTGTGACCAGTAACTGCCTTGTGCCATTTTAAGATTAGCACAGAACCAGTGCTGATAGCTATTGTTTGAATTGACTTTGAAATCTCAGTGAATGCTGGCACAGCACGTTACGGTGTGTACACATTTTCATGTCATGATTTTGATGAATTTGATAGACCACCTGCTTTTTTTTTTTTAGGTAGCTCATTGTGGTTTTAACTTGTGTCTCCCTAATAACTAATGATGTCAAAACTGTTCTCGTGAGCTTATTTGCCACCTGTTTTTGTTTTTGAGACAGATTCTCGCTCTGTTGCTTAGGCTGGAGTGCAGTGGTGCCATCTCAGCTCACTGCAACCTCCACCTCCCAGGTTCAAGCAGTTCTCCTTGCCTCAGCCTCGGGAGTAGCTGGGGATTATAGGCACCCACCACCAGGCCCAGCTAATTTTTGTATTTTTAGTAGAGATGGAGTTTCACTCTGTTGGCCAGGCTTGTCTCAAACTCCTGACCTCAAGTGATCTGCCCACCTCGGCCTCCCAAAGTGCTGGGATTATAGGCATGAGCCACCAGGCCCACTGCCACCTGCTTTTGATACATCCTGGAACATAAGTACCTATTGGGTGTCAGATTGTAACTATGTGCTTGGGTGCACAGCCCCTTGTCTTTCTGGGTTTCTATCCACAGAAAACTAAGATATAAAGAGGGGAGGCATTCAGCTATTCAGAGGGGTTGAGAGACCAAGAAGAAAAGAGAGGAAAATCATAGAAGAGACCCTCACTTGAGGCTGCCCGTCATTGTAGACTGATGGTTACTAAGGAGGAAGAGCCTGCATCATCTGGTGGCTGCTGCAGGTGTGTTTGGCAGCCAGTCAGACAGCTCAGAAAAAGGAATGCACCTTCCCACCCTTCTAAATGTCAAGAGCAAGAGAGGTGCTCCCTGTGAAAGGCTTCTTAAAACAGAGCTAGCCTCAAGCATGATCCGGATATTAATCCTAACTTAATCTTGCGTCACATAAGGATTCTACTGAGCATGAAGGTCTTCAAATGTGTTATTCTTTGAATCCCAGTCTCCTTTAGGCATCATAATGCTGGTTGTCTCAGCCTAGATTCTCTAGAAAACAGAGCTGGAAGCAAATGATTATACATGAATATTTTATCGGGAAGCACAGTCCCAGGGATGCTAGAGTGAGTGGAAATAGGAATGAGGTCAGAAATGAATGATAGCAAATATGAGAAGGTGCATGCCAAGTTGGCACGGAAAGCAACCGATTGCTCCAATCCATTACCATCCTCCGACAGGCTCTATATACGTCACAGGACAGTGTGCACTCATCAGAAGGACAGCAGAAGAGTTTATCCTTTCCAATAAGTTCTCCCAATTTATCATTTGACCAGCTCCCGTCTCACTGATCAAAGTGCTAACCACCCTGCTCAGTTCCAGGTCATCGGGTGTCTCAGCAGCAACACAGATGCCTTAGGGCAGGAGGGAAGGGGAGAGTCCTGAGGATAGGAGGCAAAGTCAGCTGTGGGGCAAGAGCTGTCAGGTCATTTTCAAGCAGGTGGTGATGAAAACTCTCTCCTTGACCAAACTCTAGCCAGGCTCCTTTGAGTTCTTCCTCAACAAGGCCTCATCTTTGGGCATGTCCTCAAGAGCCCTTTTTCTTTTCTTTTCTTTTCTTTTTTTTTTTTTTTTTTTTTTTTTTTTTTGAGACAGGGTCATGCTCTGTCACCCAGGCTGGAGTGCAATGGTGCAATCTTGGCTCACTGCAACTTCTGCCTCCTGGATTTAAGCGATTCTCCTGCCTCAGCCTCCTGAGTAGCTGGGCTTACAGGCATGTACCACCATGCCCAGCTAATTTTTTTGATTTTTTTAGTAGAGATGGGGCTTCACCATATTGGCCAGGCTGGTCTCAAACTCTTGACCTCAAGTGATCCACCTGCCCCAGCCTTCCAAAGTACTGGGATTACAGGGATTACAAAGTGCTGCACCCAGCCAAGAGCCCAATTTTATCCAGAATCCTACTGTGTTACTATGGCCCATTTATTGAGTGACCCAAAAGGCTACCAATTTTGAGTGGGATCCAGAACAGGAGAAGGCTCTGCCACAGGTCCAGGCTGCTGTGCAAGCTGCTCTGCCACATGGGCCATATGACCCAGCAGATCCCAATGGTGACTGAGGTGTCAGTGGCAGACAGGGTGCTGTTTGGAGCCTTTGGCAGGCTCCCCATAGGTGAATCACAGTGGAGGCCTCTAGGATTTGGGATCGAGGCCCTGCCATCTTCTGCAGATAACTACTATCCTTTTGAGAGACAGCTTTTGGCCTATTACTGGGCTTTAGTAGAAACTGAATGTTTGACTATGGGTCATCCAGTCATCATGTGACCTGAACTGCCTATCACAAACTGGGTGCTTTCTGACCCATCTAGCCATGAAGTGGGTCATGCACAGCAGCAGTCCATCATCAAATAGAAGTGGCATATATGTGATCAGACTCAAACAGGTCCTGAAGGCACAAGTAAGTTACATGAGGAAGTGCCTCAAATGCCCACAGTCTCCACTCCTGCCACCTTGCCTTCTCTCCCCCAGCCTGTACTGATGTCTTCATGGGGAGTTCCCTATGATCAGTTCACAGAGGAAGAGAAGACTAGGGCTTGGTTCACAGATGGTTCTTCACTATATGCAGGCACCACCCAAAAGTGGATAGTTGTAGTTCTACAGCCCCTTTCTAGGACATCCCTGAAGGACAGCGGTGAAGGGAACTCTTACCAGTGGGAAGAACTTTGAACAGTGCACCTGCTTGTGCACTTTGCATGGAAGGAGAAATGGCCAGATGTGTGATTATATGCTGATTCATGGTTTGTAGCCAATAGTTTGGCTGGATAGTCAGGGAATTGGAAGAAGCATGATTGGAAAATTGGTGACAAAGAAATCAGGGGAAGAGGTATGTGAATGGACTTCTCTGAGTGGTCAAAAACTGTGAAGATATTTGTATCATGTGAGTGCTCACTAATGTATGACCTCAGCAGAGGATGATTTTAATAATCAAGTGGATAGGATGACCCATTCTGTGGACACTATTCAGCCTCTTTCCCCAGCCACTCCTCTCATCACCCAATGGGCCCATGAACAGAGTCCATAGTGGCGGGGATGGAGGTTATTCATGGGTTCAGCAACATGGACTTCTACTCACCAAGGCTGACCTGGCTATGGGCATTGCTGAGTGCCCAATTTGCCAGCAGCAGAGACCAACACCGAGCCATCGATACGGCACCATTCCTCGGGGTGATCAGCCAGCTACCTGGTGGCAGGTTGACTATACTGGACCTCTTCCATCATGGAAAGGGCAGAGGTTTGTCCTCACTGGAACAAGCACTTACTCTGGATATGGGTTTGCCTATCCTGCATGCAATGCTTCTGCCAAGACTACCATCCATAGACTCACGAAATGCCTTATCCACCATCATGGTATTTCACACAGCATTGCCACTGAATAAGGCACTCAGTTTACAGCTAAGAAGTGTGGTAGTGGGCTTGTGCTCATGGAATTCACTGGTTTTACCATGTTCCCCATTATCCTGAAGCAGCTGAGTTGATAGAATGGTGGCATGGTCTTTTGAAGTTACAATTCCAATACCAGCTAGGTGACAATACTTTGCAGGGCTGGAGCAAAGTGCTCCAGAAGGCTGTGTATGCTCTGAACCAGTATCCAATGTATGGCACAGTTTCTTCCATAGTTAGATTTACACATCCAGGAATCAAGGGGTAGAAGTGGAAATAGCACAACTCACTATCTCCCTAGTGATTCACTAGCAAGATTTGCGCTTCCTGATTCCATGACATTATGTTCTGCTGGCCTACAGGTCTCGGTTCCAGAGGGAAGAACACTGCCACCAGGAGACACACAACAATCTCATTAAACTGGAAGTTAAGAGTGCCACCAGGACACTTTGGGCTCCTCCTTCCTTTAAGTCAACAAGCTAAGAAGGGAGTTACAGTGTTGGCTAGGGTGTTGACCCAGCCTATCAAGATGAAATCAATTTACTACTCCACAACAGAGGTAAGGAAGAGTATACATGGAACACAGGGGATCGATTGGGCGCTCTTAGTATTACCATGTCCTGTGATTAAAGTCAATGGGAAACTACAACAGCCCAATCCAGACAGGACTACAACTGACCCAGACCCTTCAGGAATGAAGGTTTGGGTCATTCCACCAGGAAAAAAAAGCACCACCTGCTGAGGTGCTTGCTGAAGGCAAAAGGAATACAGAATGTGTAGCAGAAGAAGCTAGTCATCAATACCAGCTACGACCACGTGACAGGCTGCAGAAATGGGGACTGTAATTGTCAGGAGTATTTCCTCCTTCGTTGTTAAATATGTTTGTGCATGTATATACTTGTACTAAGAAAATATCTTCATTTTATTTCCTTTCTCCTTTATCATGTGACAAGATTTATTGACTTCACATCAGCATTTAAGTATTGTTAACTTTACGTAATAGTATTCGGTTGGGGATTGGTGAGTTTCTGGTTGTACGAAGGATAGTTGTATTGTGTTAGGTGTAATTATGACATTATTGTCTTTATTTGAAGATTATGTATGATCTCAGGAGATGTGTATGGATTCAAATTGACAAGTGGTAGATGGACCACTTGAGATGGTTAATACTGAGTATCAACTTGACTGAATTGAAGGAGACAAATTATTAATCCTGGGTGTGTCTGTGAGGTGTTGCCAAAGGAGATTAACATTTGAGTCAGTGGGCTGGGAAAGGCAGGCCCACTTTTGATCTGGGTGGGCACCATCTAATCAGCTGCCAGCACAGCTAGAATAAAAAGCAGGCAGAAAAATGTGAAAAGAGAGACTGGCCTAGCCTCCTAGCCTACATCTTTCTCCCATGCTGGATGCTTCCTACCCTTGAACATCAGACTCCAAGTTCTTCAGTTTTGGAACTCAGACTGGCTGTCCTTTCTTCTCAGCCTGCAGACAGCCTGTTATGGGACCTTGTGTGAGTTAATACTAAATAAACTTCCATGTATGTATATGTATATGTATATGTATATGTATATGTATATGTATATGTATATGTATATGTATATGTATATGTATACATACCTTGTGTGAGTTAATACTAAATGAACTTCCATGTATGTATATGTATATGTATATGTATATGTATGTGTATGTGTATGTGTATGTGTATATGTATACATACCTTGTGTGAGTTAATACTAAACTTCCATGTATATATATATATATATATATATTTGTATGTATATGTATATGTATACATACCTTGTGTGAGTTAATACTAAATGAACTTCCATGTATATATATATATATATGTATGTATATGTATATGTATATGCATATGTATGTATATCTATTCCATTAGTTCTGTCCCTCTAGAGAACCATGACCAATACACCTACAAAGTCAGGTTGACCAGAATCCCCCACTCTCCCTATCCAATCATCCCCCTCATCTTGCACCATACCGAGGTGATGACTGATCACCCTGGCTTGCCTTTAGCAAGAATCCTATTATGTCAGTTAAGTGAAGAATTCCCTTACCCTCAGTGATTTTCCAACCACCAACTTTTCACTGGCTATAAATCCCCACCATTCCTTGTTGTATTTTTGGAGCTGAGAAAGAAAAGAAACTTTTCATCTGAGGAATGCCAGTCCCTTTAAATAACCCGGCCCAGAAAGGCATTGAAATGTGACAGAAGGCTCATATCACCCATCCCCCTTGAATTAAGTAATCTACCTGCTACGTGGACTCTAGACTGAGTGTCCTCACCAAGCAGCTATAAATTAATCTAACAATGCCACACACTGGACACCATGACCCATACTCTACAGTTCAACAATGTAGTGCCAATTACTCATCAATGTTATTTCTGCAAACCAGTGAGAATTCCTGAGGAACAACCTTTGTAATCCTTCCCTCTTTGAATTTGCCCTCTTTCTTTGAAAACTCGAGTCTCTCCTTTATTCTCTGGAGATTTCCCAGCGTTTCCCAGACTGCAGTCCTCAACCTTGTTCCAAATAAACTCACTGTATTAATTTTGCTTCTGTTTCTTTCTTTAGGTAGACAGGGTTGCGCCCAATCTCTCTCCCCTACTGAAAAACCCCGCTGTAGCAGTCACCTGAATGAAGTGTGCCTTCTCGTCTTTCATGAGTGTCAGAGTAATTTCTTTAACAGTGATCAGACCACACAGTGGTGAGTCCAACGTGCAGGTCAGGTGAGTCCAGTGAGAGTCCAGTGAGTCCAATGTGCAGGAGAGGTGCCTGATACACTACCCTGAGACCTATCTCCATGGGAAATACTGGACTCAGAGTAATAATTAAAGGCTGTTTTTGAGCGTTTACTATGCAACCAGACACTTTTCTAGGCTCTTTATCCTATTAGCTTCTTTAGTACCATTTTCAGAAGAGGAAATCCAGGCATCAAGAATTTAAGTTAACTAACGCAACATCGCTCAGCGAGTAACTACTGGAGCCTGAATCTCAACCCTGGTGGATCAGCTCCACAGCCTATAGTCTAACCCATTGCATTTAATAGACGCAGAACAATGTAGCAGCATACAGGACACCCTAGTTCAGGCCCTTACCAGCCACAGGATCCAGGGCAAAGACAGTAATCTCTGTGGCCTGGGCTCATGCATCTATCTGTTCAATGCAAATGAGCATACATTGGAATTTTATGAGCACAAACATTTTGAAACAAGTCACAGAACATGCTTGATTCAGTGCCTGGCTCCGAATAAACACATGCTCTATTTTATGTGTTGTTCTTATTATCATTATTACCAATCACTTTTAAGTGTTTTCTTTTACCTGAAATGGTGCTCATTGAATTCAATGCAACTTGTTGGCACAAAGAATCACAATGAGCTCTTTCAAGTTTTAATTTTCCTCACCTTTGGCTCCCGAGCTGCACACACATATATAGAGTACTGTAATGATTAGCCATGGAGCATGCAGCCACTCTGTCTCCTTCCTGTGAAATCCAAATTGAGTGAGCTGAGACGCCCAGGGACAGAAGAAAGATGTTTGGATAATTGCTGATCATTCACAGGAATAAAATAAACCTTTGAAGGAGAACTCATCCTTATACTGGATTATCATAATGCTTAAACGAAATCTTCAGACTTAAAAAATGTCTTGTAAATTTGGTTTGAACGCTTGTATTAGGTTTAATATCATCTTATTTTTCTGTTTTATGAATCATGTCAGTTTTTCTCTGGAGTTTGAAAGAACTGCTATCCATTAACAGAAGGAAAAGCTGTTAAGCAGTTCTGTCGGTCGTCCTGTCACATCACAGGGAAACGCTCACCTGGGGTTTGTTCGTGTGCTTCTTTGGGTGTGGGACAAGGAGATATTAATCCCACAGCCGACCCTCAGCCCTGCCACCTCTTGAAACCGCCCCCCACCTCCACGAGGCTATCTCCAGAATGTTTCTCATCAGAATACACATCACTGCCCTCCTCTCCTCTGTCCATGGTAGCTGATTTTTGCATAGCCACACATCAATAGTTCATTGATTGGCTGAGTGGAAAAAGGAGTTTCACAAAAGTAAATTGTTCCACTAAATGGAGCTTATTGTTGTAAGCAACACATTTAAAATTTTTGTTTGAAAGAAATGTTGCTAGGAGGTACATACGTGAGTCAGAAATAATTTGGTTATGAATGACAAAAGCCTACTCAGACTAGCTTAAGCAAAATGGGGAATTTATGAAGCAAATAGAGGGATGTCTCATGGAATCTGAGGACAGAAAGTGACCAAGGTTTCCAAGAAGTGGGAAAGTCATCACACACTCACTGGTCCAATGGTACTCTTGGGGACGCACTGTCACCTTGGCTGGAGTGCAGTGGCATGATCACAGCTCATGGCAGCCTCGACCTCTCGGGCTCAAGTGATCCTCCCAATTCAGTTTCCCAAGTACCTGTGTGTGCCACTATGCCAGCTAATTTTGTATATTTTGCAGAGGCAGGGTTTTGCCATGTTGCCCAGGCTGGTTTCAAACACCTGGGCTCAAGAATCCTTCCACCTTGGCCACCCAAAATGCTGAGATTACAGGCATAAGCCACCATGCCCAACCCTCATTTTCCCCTTTTTAAGAACTCTATGAGTTCGATTTCGTCATCTTCCATATTCCAGGTATAGAAACAGGAGCTCAGAAATGTTGTTATGTCCCTAGGTTCACACAGCTGGTACCAGGTGCTAGAGCCAGTAGTCAAACCTAAGCCTCCCAAAATGCTTGGATTACAGGCATAAACCACCACACCTGGCCTCCGATTCTTTTTTTTTCTTTTTTAAGATGGAGTCATTCGGGAATGGTAGCTTATATCTGTAATCCCAGCACTTTGGGAAGCCAAGGCGGGTGGATCACAAGGGCAGGAGTTCAAGACCAGCCTGGCCAACATGGTGAAACCTCGTCTCTACTAAAAATACAAAAATGAGCTGGATGTGGTGGCGTGCACCTGTAATCCCAGCTACTCGGGAGGCTGAGGCAAGAGAATTGCTTGAACCTGGGAGGCAGAGGTTGCAGTGAGCAGAGATTGCACCACTGCACTCCAGCCTGGGTGACAGAGAAAGACTCCATCTCGGAAACAAGCAAACAAACAAACAAAAAATATGGAGCCTCTCTCTGTCACCCAGGCTGGAGTGCAGTGGCACAATCTTGGTTCACTGCAACCTCTGCCTCCTGGGTTCAAGTGAGTCTCCCGGGTAGCTAGGATTACCCACCACCACACCCAGCTAAGTTTTGTGTTTTTAGTAGAGATGGGGTTTCATGATGTTGGCCAGGCTGGCCTTGAACTCCTGAACTCAAGTGATCCACCTGCCTCGGCCTCTCAAAGTGCTGGGATTACAGGTGTGAGCCACTGCGCCCTGCCCAGCCTCTGATTCTTGGTTAACAAACCACAATAGACACAATTCAGGGTCCTAATCCGTCATTTGTAAGGCAGGAAGCAGTGTTTGGGCACCAGCTCTGGCTCGAGCCAACACGGCAGAATTAAACACTTGTCAGTGGTTCTTAGGAGAGGATGAGGAAGTTCTACCTAGGACATAGATCAGGGAATCATTGATTGTCGCAGTGGCTTGGAGGAGGGCTACTACTGATATTTAGTGAGTAGGAGCCAGGGGCACTTAATGTCCTCCACTGTATGCAACAGTCCCACAAATGAATTGTTCTCACCTCACATGCCTCCCTCACTCAACCCACCAAATGCCAATAGTATTCATACTAAGAAACACAGAATCCCGGGGAGCTTCATTTCACTTTCCCGAAGGAGTAGCTTTAGCTCTTGGGGCCACTACAGTTTTTAAATGCTGCGGCCTAACCACAACTGTGTGATATCTTGGTACAGAGAGGTTCTCTGCTTGTGATTTGTGCTGCTAGGCAAACATTCTGATCATCCCCATTCTGGACACACAGAAGGGTAGGAGCAATGTGAGCAGCACTGGGCAGTGAGCTGTGAGCCAGAGAACATGCCCCTTCTGTGATGAACAATGAATTGTCAGTAAACAATCCACAAAGGAACTCTTTTTTCTTGGCCACAACAGGAGACATTATAACAGCAGCTGCTCCATGAGCCTGGGTCCTAGAGGGAAGACAGTGATAATTCAGAGTAGAACCTTCTGCCTCTCAGTGATGAACATGAGTATAGGTGAAAAATAAACCTTCATTATGTTAAGTCACTGAGATAGGGGCACTGTTACTGCAGCAAACCCAGCTGGTCCTGACAAATACAGGCTTTCAGAATTGCTGTATGCCAGGAACTCTTAAGTCCTTAACAATATTAACTCATTTAATTCTTACAATAACTTTTTGAAGCAGGTGCTACCATCATCTGTCCTCATTGTATAGATGAGAAAACTGAGGAACAACAAGGTTAAGTTGCTCATTCAAGTGACAACAGTGATGGTGCTAGGATTTAAACCCAGGCAGTCTGGCTCCAGAGCCATATATTAACTACAATGCTGTACTGCCTCTTGAGTTTTATGTAGCAGGTGCTTCTAAGCTAACTGACTTTAAACTACTATGCTTCAGTTATCTAATTTCTGCTTTCAGTGTTGTTAACAATTTTGATTCTTTGTTCCTGTCGATTGTCACATTTTGCCTTTGTCATCATACCTGCCGCTGGCCATAACTCCTTCTTTTTTCTCTTCTAATACGCTGTTTCTAATCCATTACGGACTAGGAAACCAGATAATTAAGCTTGTTATGCACGTTATAATTATGACTAATTGAGCCTGGCCACCTTGATAGTCAACATTGCTCTATTCCACCTCCACCTACCTTGCTCACACTCTTGTAACTGTGTGATTGGTGGCTCTTGCATCTTCCCCTCTAGACAACATGCTCTTTTGAGGGAAGGTAATGAGCTCAATTCACCTTTGTGTCTCTCTGTCCCCTTCCCCCAACACCCAGCACAATGCTTTGCATATGTTAGGTGACTAATAAATATCTGCTAAGACTATTAAGTAATTAGGTTCTGAGTAATGGCCCAAGAGCTTGCCTATAAGTTAATTAGATGGGCTTGCTACTAGCCTGTGGGACATCCATTTTAGCTGTCTGGAGGCCTTTGGGATTTTCTCAGTTTTGTCTTGGATACTTAAGATTATAGGACAAAGAGATCAATGAATTCCTTCATTTAGTCTCTTGGTAGATGTTTATTGAGTTTCTACCATAATATTAAAAATACTAGCAGCTTATATGTGCTGAATATTTACCACAGGCTAGGTAATATTTGAAGCATTTTATAAGTGTTAATTTATGTTACACTCACAACAATCCAATTAGTTAGGGGCTGTTGTCATCAGTCCAAAGGCTGAAGAAACTGAGGCACAGAAGGCAACTTTCCCAAGGCTTAGAGCTACTGAGAAGTGGAGTTAGACTAATCAGGTCCCAGACCTATAGGAGGACAAGACAGAGAAGGCATTTACCCTCAGGAGGTTGACATTTTTGTGGAAAGTCCAGATAAGAAACAAATAAGCACATGAATCTACAAAATGATTGTAGGCTGTGATAAGTGTTCTGAAAAGAATAAACAGTGTGCTGTAACAGAAAATAATGCAAGAGACATGGGAGCGTGGTCCCACACGGCATCTGGGAGTGGCCACATTAGCTTATCTATTGCCGGATAATAAACTACCCCAAAAATATAGTGCTTAAAGTAATGGACATTTACTGTCTCCCAGTTTCTGTGGGTGAGGAATTTGAGAGAGGCTCATCTGAGGAGTCCCAGCTTGGACTCCCACCAGATTGGAGTCAAGATGTTGCCTGGGCCTGCAGTCATCCAAAGGCTCGACTGGGGCTAGTGGATCTGTTTCCAAAATGATTCATTATATCAGACGGGATTTTCTCAGACAAGCAGAACCAGTAGGAAAGATACAGATCACAGAATTGGGGATGCTGCTTATAAGGCTCTTTTCAGATATAAACTCTCCTTACATCTGATACAAGACCTTGAAATCCACAGAGCAAGCAGTCAAGAAGGAAAGGCCAGAAACAGGTGGAAAGCCTACCAGGACAAGCTAGAGCCCCACAAGGACAGACTGAAGCCCATGTTCTTGGTGATGAGGGCATCCTACAGAAGTCAGGCCTTTGTTCCAGATCTGAACACATACACCTGGCCCAGCTCCTGCATCACATCAACAAGGTGAGTCAGCAGGTGAGCAACAATGTATTTGTGATACAAAATTCTTCTTGCCCCCACTAACGCCACACCCTACTCCAAGTCACTGAGAATCTCCCTCATGGCCAACCTTAACTGGAAACATATAAAAAAGGGGATTCTGTAGTTCAGCCTAGCTAAGCTGATACACTGCAAACTCATCACATCATAACACTCACTCCAGTGGCTCTTAAAGGCCTCAGCTCCTCGCTGGCTGTTGGCAGGGGGCCCAGTCCCCCATCACATTGGCCTCTCATTAGGGCTGCTTGAGTGTGCTCATGACACAACAGCTGGCTGCCCCCAGAGTGAATGGCCCAGAGAGAGAATGAGGAGAAGCCTGCAATGCCTTTGATAGCTTAGTCTTGGAAGTCGCTTATTGTCACTTCTGCCGTATTCTATTCATTACAAATGGGTCACTGAGTTCAGAACACAAGCAAGGGGAGGACAATTAGGCTCCACCTTTTGAAGAGAGGAGGGTCAAAGATTTATGGGAGTATTGAAAACCAGAGGACAGTATTTAAGCTATGGGGAAGGCAGCAATTTGAAGAGCCAGAGAAGAGTGTTTTGGGGGCAGAGGTGACAGCAAGAGACCCTGAAGGGTTTGATGTGTGTAGGCGCCTCCTCTTAAGCTCTATGTGGCTACAGCCTCATGAGCCAGCCCCCAGGGAAAGCCGCCTACCATGCGGCTGGGTCTCCTCTATTGGATGAGCAATTTGTGCTTTATTCCAAGTGCAACGAGAAGCCATGATGAGGTCACAAGAAGAGGGACACAGTCTGGTTTGCGTTTTTGAGGTATTGCTGTGGCTGCTTTATGGGGAGTGGATTGGAGGGGAGGAGGATAGAGTAGATGCAGGGAGCCCAGAAGGGGCATCAAAACAGCATGCCTGTTCTCGTTCAAGCTGTGTTGTTTATTTGATTAATTCTTGTAACCTTTCTGAACCTCTTTCATCCACTGTAAAATGAGGTGACTATTTCTTGCACACTTCCCTGGGCCACTGCGGGACACACGATGAGAATGCGTGTAGAGACACACTGGAAAAGGCAAACTGTTCTGCAGTGCAGCCAGAGGGCTTTTGCCTGACTTGCTCTGGATTAGTACCACTTCCAGAATTAGGTATTTTAACTCCAAAAGAGCACAGTCATCTGGAGAAACCCATTTTAACTTCAATGTATCTATTGGTACAATTGCTACTCAACACTTCAACAGAGTTGATGCCCTCCTAAGTATTTAAATGACAAAGAACCATCACATGGTTGGGGGTAATGCCGTGAGATCACTGCCACATCCCTACAATCATTCATGACAGCTCACACCACCTGGCCACATGGCATGACCTGGCTTATGTTAGTGTCCTGGAGGCAGAGCCTAAAGTGGGGATTTTTGTGCAGGTGGTCTATGGAGGTGGCGCTTCAAAGGTAACCTGCAGCAGAGTGAGGGAAGCAGGATCAGGCAGGAGAGCGAGTGGGCAGATGTGGTTTTGGGAGGAGACTGGCCTGAGCATGATCCTCTGGGGAGCTCTGGAGCATGAAGCATGATTTGTGGTGTAGAGGTTATCCTGCCCAGAAGCAAGAAGGTTTGGCTGGCATACAACATCCTCTTCCCATCATTGGAATGATCTCTTGTGGTTTAACATGTCATCGCAAAAACTAGTGGCTTAAAACAACAGTGATCTGCTTGTACACAGATGCTCATAGCATTATTATTCACAATAACTGGAAGGTGAAAGCAATGCAGGTATTCATTGCCAGGTGAAAGGATAATCAAAATGTGGTATATACATACTATGGAATATACTTTAGCCTTAAAAAGGGAGGAAATTCTGACATGCTACAGCGTGGATGAACTTGGAGAGCATTATGTTAAGTCAATAAGCCAGTCACAAGAAGGCAAATATGGTATGAGTCTACTTATACGAGTTATGTAGAGTAATCACATTCATGGAGATGAAAAGTAGAATGATGGTTGACTGGAAGGAGGAAATGGGGAGATTTTAATGGCATGAAATCTCAGTTTTACAAGATGAAAACGTTGATTGGTTAGACAACAATGTAAATATACTTAACACTGTCCATCTACTTAACTGTACACTTAAAATGGTTATGACAATAACTTTCCTGTTACTTGGGACTTTCGTTTTTGTTTTAGAGACAGGGTCTTGTTCTGTCGCCCAAGCTGGAGTGTAGTGGCAGGATCATGGCTCACTATAGCTTTGAACTCCTGGGCTCAAGCGATTCTCCAGTCTGAGCCTTGTCAGTAGCTAGGACTATAGGCATGCACCATCATGCCTGGCTAATTTTTTTTTCTTGTAGAGATGGGAATCTCCCTATGTTGCTCAGGCAAGTCTCAAACTCCCAGGCTCAAGGGATCTGCTTACTTTGGCCTCCCAAAGTGCTAGGATTACAGGTATGAGCCACTGCGCCCAGCCTTGTTATGTGTGTTTTACCACAGTTAAAGTAAAAACTAAAATTTAAAACAACGGTAATCATTTATTGTCTGTCACTGTCTCTGTGGGTCACAAATTCGAGAGTAGCTCAGCTGGGCTGGGCCCAGCTGTTCTCAGTCAGGGTCTTTCCCGAGGATGCAGGCAGATGGGAGTTAGGGCCTAGGCCGTCTTGAAAGCTTCTTCACACTCATGTCTGGTAGCTGGGCTGAGAAGACTCAAACAGCTGGGGTTCCTTGGGCTGTTTCTATCTCTATCTCAGTGTGGTGGCTTCCCAGTCACTGAGCTTCTTACCTCACGGCTCACACTCCAAGGCACATGTCCTGAGAGACAGACAGAGACAAAGAGGCAGGTGGAAGCCATATCATTTCTTACAATCTAGTTTGAAAGGTACATTAGTCTCCTAGGACTATTGTAAGAAAGGACTGCAAACTGGGTGATTTAAACCAACAGAAATTTGGTCTCTCACAGTTCTGAAGGCTAGAAATCTGAAATCCAGGTGTTGGCAGAGCCACACTCCCTCTCAGAGCTCCAGTGGAGAATCCTTCCTTGCTTCCTCCAGCCTCCAGTGTTGCCAGCAATCCTTGGCACTCTTGCTTGTAGATGCATCCCTGCAGTCTCTGCCTCCATCTTCACGTGGCATTCACGGGTACATGCATGCCTCTATGTATAAAACAACTGTTTTAACAACAGTTGTGAAGATGGAGTGAGTTAATGCTTGGGTGCATAATAAATATGCATTAAACATTAGCAACAGTCCAGCGAGACAGCTCATACCTGTAACTTTGGGATACAAAGGCGGATGGATCACTTGAGCCCAAGAGTTCAAGACCAGCCTGGGTGACATGGCAAAACCCCGTCTCCCTCTTTCTCCATATAAAGACAAATTTCCTCCTCCTTCTCCTTATAAAGACACTAGTGGCTGCATTAAAGCCCACCACAATCCAGTATGACCTTGTTAAAACTTGATTACATCTGCAAAGACACTATTTCCAAGTAAGATCACATGCATAGGTATCGGGGTTGAGATTTGAATCTATCTTTTGGAAGACACATTCAACCTACAACAGAAGGCATGCAGCCACTTCCACCTGATCCTCGTCCTTAGATCCATGAAGGCTTTAAGACTGGCCCACCTTCGAGGAGAAGGAATCTGCCTGTTGATGAGAAGAATGTCAAAGAATTTGCAGGAAGCATGTAACCTCCCAGGCATCTCAGGAGCCGTGTCTCCTGCCAGTTGTGGCCAGCCTTCAGAGATGGTGCAGGTGTGAGCCATTAAACCAGCACTGCCACAGCTGGGCACACTGGCCTGGTACCAGGCATTTGGGAGCAGCACCAGTGACACCTGCTACAGGGACATGACCAACCTGTCCTTGACCAGCGGATCAGCTCATCCCCTTCAATGGCACGCTACAGCAAACTATTCTTCAATCGTAAAAATAGCACCACCGCTTTAAACATTAAAATTTTTTTTTGAATAATCACATTATTGGATACTGTTTAGACAGCTAGATAATAATACTTGCCCAATGAGAACATTAACAACCAGCCAGATACTGTTCCAACCATTAACAGATTTAAACCTGACAATTATAGGAGGTTGGTTCCATTATCATCCCTATTTTACAGATGAGGAAACTGAGACCCAGAGAGGGTTACGGAGCTTCTCCAAGTTCAGATGGCTGCTCAGAGGCAGAGCTGAAGTTGGAAACTCAGCATCTGGATTCATTATGCTCTTAGTGTCACTACTGCCCTGCTGCTCTGAAATAGAATCCAGTAAGAAAAAAGCAAACCAAACTAGATCTTCTGTTATGTAATCATTTTGATTTATAATTGATTTTAAACATAGCCCCAAGAAATTAAGGACCAACAGGTCTACAGCCGCTTTCCCAAGAGGACTGTTATACTGAGGTATAAGCTTTTCTTCCAGAAGCAAGAGCCTGGGATAAGCCAAATCTGAGGCTGCCTGGGCAAGGTAGAGTTGTCCTGGAAGAGCACCTCCAAATTGAGGCTCCAGCATTAGCAAACCCTTCAGGTGTAATTAATCTGCAACAGAGACGCTCTGCAGGGCAGTGCAAATTCTGCAAGCAGACCCTCTCTCCTGGTAGTTAGATGAGGTAAATCAACTAATTTCCCCAGTGAGATATGTTTTCTGTTGAGCTTGTGCTTTCAATTATCCAGATGAAGAAAAATTCTATTTCGGAGGCTCTTTTCCAAATCCCATTTTCTTCCTTATTCCCAACTCTTAACACTTCCTCTTCCCTAGCAGCTACCTAGGACCAGAGATTCTAATCTTTCTGCTTAGTGGAGTGTGTGTGTGTGTCTTGGAGGCTGGGGGCAGCAGGCAGGGGTGGGACAGCAGGCAGGGGTGGGGCAGCACCCCGAGCAGTCATAAACTGCCAGATAAAATGCCCTTGATCAGATAGGTTTGTTTCAAACCATCAGACTGCATCACTCAACAATCCGGCAGCCTCCAGCTGATGGATTTGCAGAAGTGCTCAAGGATAATTGGCATTTTAATGGGAAAATGCTGTGTTCCCAAGTGTCAGAATAACAATAAGATACCCCAAGGGCCATTAACACAGTTCTTGGGTAATTAAAGTTGCTCACCCATCAGTCTTGGTCTCAGAATCTATCCCATGCTTGCAGCAGGGCTTCTGGGGGTGCCCAATTCTCGCAAACCACTAAATTGGAACTCTAATGATCAAATGGCTTTTCCCATTCAAACACACACATGCAAAAGACACTGAAGAGCAGTTGCACCTCCATCTGTCACTGCCATTCTTCTGTCTTCTCTTGCACGAGGGCTGGGCTCAGGAGAGAACTGTGAGAACCATGGGTGATAGAAGGCATCATCCTTAACTGACTCTTCTGGCATCAACTTACAGAAGCTGCATTTCAGAAGGGCATTTTGATTCAATGCATCCACTATTTATTTACAGTTCACAGATGCCAGATGCAGGGTGCATGGTATTCCTTGGCTTGGTGATTAGGGCTGGGGCTCTGCTTTAATCTCCCTTCACCCCCTTCACCGGGCATCTGGTATCCACACAATTAGATGTGCTGGTCCTTGCTAATGTTTCATTGTTTTTGTTGTTGCTGCTGTTGTTGTTTGAGTCACAGTCTCACTCTATTGCCCAGGCTGTAGTGCAGTGGTATAATCTTGGCTCACTACAGCCTCAACCTCCTGGGCTCAAGGGATCCTCCCACCTCAGCCTCCCGAGTAGCTGGGACTACAGGTGCATGCCACAATGCTTGGGTAATTTTTGTATTTTTTTGTTTAGACAAAATTTCACCATGTTGCCAAGGCTGGTCTTGAACTTCTGGGCTCAAGCGATCTGCCCACTTTTGTCTCCCAAAGTGCTAGAATTACGGACATGAGCTGTTGTGCCTGTTGCTATTTTTTAATGCACATTTATTATGCACCCAAGCATTAACTCACTCTATCTTCACAACTATTGTTAAAACAGTTAGTGTACAGAGAAGGAAGCTGAGGTTGAGAGAGGGAACGTGGCTTATATAAGGTCACTCTGAAATTGGAGCTCGAGCTCAAGCTGTTTATTTGCAGAGCTCAAGGTTTTTACCACTACCCTATTGTGATGGTTGCTGTGGAATATCAACTTGACTGGATTAAGGGATACCCAGATAGCTGGCATAATTTATTCTCTACACTGCAGTAGGTACTAAGCCTATCTCTTTTCTGCTGAAAAGGAAACCCAGGTGGCTTTGCTTTTGATTAGAATGATTGGGCATCCCCAGATGTGTCTGTGAAGGTGTTTCCAGAGATTGGCATGTGAGTTGGTGGACTGAGTGGGGAATATCCACCCTGAAAATGGGTGAACACCATCCAATCAGCTATGGGTCCAGATGGAACAAAAAGGAGGATGAAGACAGAATCCTCATCCTCTCTCTGCCAAGCCTGGAAGCCCTTCTCCTGCCCTTGAACATCAGCATTCCAAGTACTCTGGCCTTGGGACTCACATCGGTGGCCTCAGACTGAGAGCAACACCATTGCCTCCCTGGTTCTGAGGTTTTCTGACTTGGGCTGAGCCAAGTTACCAGTTTCCCTGGGTCTCAAAGCTTGCAAGCATGGGCCTCTCAGCTCCATAATCAAGTGAGCCAGTTCCCCTAATAAATCCTTTGCGTGTGTCTCTCTCTGCATGTCCTATTGGTTCTGTCTCTCTGGAGAACGCTGGCCAAAACACCTATCCTTCTTTCATTCGCTTTTCAAAATTTGGAGGCAACTCATTTCTGTACCTGTTTAAAAAAGTATATCCTATGAAAGAATCCTCAATTCTCATTTTGACCACTGCCAGTTTGGGAGCATGAAATAATGCTTAAGTCAAAGCATGTGGGTTGGACTGAGGGCTTGGAGATGAGGCTGGTGTAGAGCAGTGCTTTCCCCCGTCAGAGACTGCCTGCCCTTAGGAATAGGGACATGAGAGTAAGGGTTCTGACAGGAAACAGATGGCTCACTCAATCAGGGCAGCTTGTGGACTGTTTAATACAAGTACTCTACAGAGCTGAGAGCAAGGTTTAAGAAACCCAGGAAGGGATGGGGAGAAATTCCAAGTCAGGCAAAAGCTAGAGCTACTAGTCCTAAGATATAAGGAAACGAAGATTGGGGGCTGACTGATTTCGGGGACCTAGAGAAGATAGCTGCATGGGGGTGGCTGTGTGACAGGGACTGTGGCTTCCCTAGAGGAACACAGCAAGTAAACTGGCAAAGAGGGTATCCAGCCTCATTCTCCTCTTGCCTTCTCTCCTGCCAGTGCCTGTTTTCAGCTACACCCAACCCAAATCCAAAGAGCAATGAAGCCACATTCACTGGGGGCAGCATTCATAGCAGCCGTGTTTCTGGGCATGCCATAGGTGGGCCAGAAAGAAGCTGAGTCTAGAATAAGAAATAGAAAATATCCAGCACAACAGAATGACAACATAGAAATGTGTGCAGCCTGATACTCAGTGGGACAAATTTGTTGCCTGAGATTTGGCTATTGGGGAGAAAATACTTATTCCCCTATTTGTTCTTCACTTGTTTTTAGATCAGAAGAATCTTGGCTTCTTTCTGCCCCTTCATTTATTTGTTTGAAGAGAAAGAACTAATTGAATGGTGACTTTGGGTCAGAAGAGGCAAAGTAGCCCAGCCCCTTCCCATCTGTCCCCCTTGGGGACCAGCCTGACTACTGAAAGTATATGTTCCAGTCCATTGTCAGCACTGCAGATATTTTGGCAAGAAACCCCTGCTTCTGAGAAGAAAGGCTGATGACCTTCCAGTATTGCTTTAGACTGGCTAGATAATTACACCACATTTTGGGATGCAGTGTTCATGAGTCCTTTGGCCAGATCTAAATACATCTTTTCATCCAGTTTTACCAGAAATAACTGGTCTTCTGATCCCCATCAGCCTTTCTCCTTTCCTTTGTCATTGCTCAGTGCCTGACCTAAAATGGTAAAGAAAAAGCTGTATTTCTTTTTTTCTTTTCTTTTCTTTTTTTTTTTTTTGAGACAGTGTCTCTCTCTGTTGCCCAGGCTGGAGTGCAGTGGCTCAATCTTGACTCACTGCAGCCTCTGCCTCCAGGGTTCAAGCAATTCTCCTGCCTCAGCCTCCAGAGTAGCTGGGATTACAGATGTGTGCCACCACACCTAGCTAAGTTTTGTATTTTTAGTAGGGACATGGTTTCACCATGTTGGCCAGGGTGGTCTCGAACTCCTGACCTCAAGTAATCCACCCACCTCGGCTACCAAAGTGCTGAGATTACTGTTGTGAGCCACCATGCCCGGTCAAAGCTATATTTCTTTAATCTCAGAATTGGCAACTAAGATTCAAAGTTGAGGACAGAGTGTCAAACCCCAAACAGACACATCCCTGGGGTGTATGAAGAAGCAGATGAACTGACATCCCTCTGTGCAGCAGCGCCCATCCTCCAGCCCCCTCCCCACCCCCACTGGCCTAAACACGCAGAAGGCTCTGGGAGGGAGGTGTTTGAAGTTGTCCCTTAAGTGCTGGGTGCCTACAGAATACAGTTGTTGCACCTCTCATCTTCCCCCTCACCCTCCATAGAGGATGGAAGAGGTGGTGCTTCATTCCTGAAGCCAAGCAAAGGCAATTTCAAAAGGATCACTGTGGTATTGGGCGTAGGGACAAGAATGGGAGAGAGATGGGAAGAGAGAGGGGAGACCAACGTGCAAGAGTAGGTCACAAAGACACCAAGAATGTGACCTCATTAGGGCCATCTTGTCACTGACCCATCCAAGGGAGAGCTCTCCAGAACCAAGGATATAAGTTGAGGGGGGTGTTCTAGTTTATTACTGTATGACAAGCCACCCCAAAGCTGAGCAGCTTAAAACACCAGCCATTTTATTGTATGTCATAATTTTGTGGATCAAGAATTCAGGCAGGGCTCTGCTGAGAATTCTTCTGCTCCACACAGAATCAGGTGAGGGCCTCTGGTGGTGTGCGCCTGGTAGAAGGGCTGGTCTGTTGCCTTGACTGGAAGGCTGGGTTCAGCAGGGACTATTGATTGACACACCTACAATTGCCTTCCCAGTATGGCAGTCAGATTTCTTATATGGTGGCTCAGCTGTCCAAGAAGCCCTGATGGCAGCTGCAAGGTTTCTTATGATCTAGCATCAGAAGTTTGAGACTGTCCCTTCAGTTGCATTCAAGCAAGTACTAAGCAAGCACTAAGGTGAGCCCACTTTCAACGGGAGGGGAAAGAGACTCCTCCTCCTCTCTATGGAAAGAGTAACAGATTCCACAGCTATCTCTATCTATCCTGGAGGCATTTGGCATATGTCTAGCCAGAATGTATGTCTCAGGGCAGGGAAAGCTTCCCTCCCAGGGCCTTTTATATAACTTAGTTATCTGCCCCATGAGAAGGCAGGTGTTGGCTGCCAGCCCAGCAGAAGCCACTGCCAGGGAGGCCAGGAAAGTCTCAAAAATAAATAATAACACCTGTTGAGAGGCATTTGTCCTCATTTCCCCAGCCTGCTCCTCAACCCTTGAAGCACTAGAGGAGGAAGAGCTAAAAAGCAGACCACATCCCTTCCTCCTCAAGATGCTTTGGGTCAAAACCAGGTGTGCTTTGGGGTTTGGGAGATGAGAGTTAAATTGGGATATGAGATTGAATCTCCAAACTTTAAATTAGCCTGGACTGGACTCTTAAAACCCCAAAATGACTGGAAATCTAGGGTATGTGCTGAACTCTGGTTAAGGGAGAGTAGACATAACACAATTAAAGTCAGTAATTAAAGAAATGAAACAGTTGTTTGTATCTTTACTGAATTTAGATTTTTCAGTAACCTGGTAATGTTTTCATGATGACACATGAGTGGTACACAGTTAGTAAGAGAGAGATTTGTAAGATTTGAAGATGCTCCTTCCTGAAAAAAGTACAGGACTTAAATCTCTTCTAAATGACCCATTGTAAAGCCCATCATCTTTTCTTTGAGATGAAGCAGGGACACTGGTATTGGAGAGGAAAATCTTTTCCCCTACCCTCTTAGGTGATATAACTGGGGGCCTGTGAATTAAAATGACAAAAAGACAAATTGACAGAAGAAAAAGCACACAATTTTACTCATATTTATCTGCATGTGAGTTTACAGAAAAGAAATGAAACTCAACCAGTTAGACTTGAGGGCCTATATACCCTTTTAACAAAGACAAGAGGATTTGGTTTCCAGGGATCACAAATTATGGGGCAGTAACTAGAATGCATATGGGGGAACTAATGGAAGATAAGGATTATTTTAGTAAAGTCTGTTTACATAAACTCATCTTTGTATGGACCCTTCATCTCTTCACTCTTCTTTTTCTCGTATGTGTGTTTGGGATCAGTCACAAAAAGGAATGCTCCCTTCTGGTGTGGGACTTTGGTGGCATTCCCTACCTGTGTTGCAAGCATTGCGGAGAAGTTACATCTAAGATAAAACAGGAGCAAAGGATCCAGCTTTCGGATTTCATGAGACTCAAGAGGAGTATCGGCATCACTCACTTAAGGAACAGAAATGGACACAGTGCAGTGTTCAAAATGCTGCTGACTAGCTTCTTGGGAGGCTGAGGCAGGAGAATCACTTGAACCCAGGAGGCAAAGTTTGCAGTGAGCCAAGATCACACCACTGCACTCCAGCCTGGGCCACAGAGCTAGACCCCATCTCAAAAAAAAAAAAAAGCTGGTGGCTGCCCCAGTCAAGGTCCTGCCAGGACATAGATGGTGCTCTCAGTGTGGGTAATTGGAGGTGTGTTTAGTAAAGGTGGGCAGGGTATGGGACACCATAGTGGAGATGCAAAAACCCAGGGCTCGTAATAGAGAGCTATTATCACCCCGAGGCCTTCAAGGGACAGAAAAGGATAGTTATAGGGACCTGGAGGTGGCATGGGCTTCCCAGGAGGAGCTGTGACCTTTGAGGGATGCCACCAGTCCCAGGCAATTGCAGAGGGGGAGAATGAACTGGTAAAACCCAACCAGAAACCGCAGGAAAGGTGCCTCCTGAGCCACAGAGCATGGTGGAGAATGGCAGAGAATAGAGTGAGATGATGGAAAATACCCAGCATGGTGACAGTAGAGTGGAACATCAGCAACCACTACCAAGCAAGCATGCACTGAACTCCAGACCTACCTGGTGCTGAGCATTTCACAGGCATTCACTGATTGAATCTTCACAAATTTATCAGCACAGTTTCTATTCATATTGCCCAGATCACAGTTTACTATATTGTCCAGCACTGCACAGCTTGGAAGTGGTACCACTGGGGTCTGTCCTTTTCATTGTCTTTAATGAGCTCTTTCAAAACTCTCTTGTAGGTAACTGACAATAATGCCAATAAGTCCCCCTTGGAAGCGGACAGTATTGTATCTGTAGGGGAGGAAAAAATTGTCTTCTCTCTACCTTTCATAGTTCATAGATGGGACAGACTCCTATAACAAAACACAGATGAACAAAAGAAAAACAAAGTTTATTAACATGTATGCTTCGTGTATATGTGGGAGATACCCACAGAATGAGTAAATCTCAGAGGCAGCTTTGAAATTAGGCTTATGTAGCATCTATCACAAAAAAACAAACCCAGTAAATTTTTAGAAAGTGATAAGACAAAGGAAAAGGACTCTAGGTCTCTAGGGGTGGCAAACTTGTGGGAAGGCAAATGGCAGATAAAGGCTAGAGAATACAGCTTGTCAGGTAGATGCTTCTGCTGTCTTCTCCTGGCTGATAAGGGCCTAAGGTTTCTTCAGTGTCTTGTTTTGTCCTTCCTGGTAAAGAGGGAAGGAGGAAAATGTTACCTTTGTAAATTTATATCCTGCTTTTAGGCAAGTACAAAGAGTTTTCTTGTACCTGCTTCTTCTCAATTACCTTCAGCTCAAAATGATAGTGGCATCTTTTGGGGTGGCGTATCCTGATCTCCTACACACCTATTAGCAAATCCATTTGGGCATTTCTGACTACCTATGTAAGTGTCTGCCTTTTCATTCTCCTTTGTACTGGTTGATAAAACCTAACAACTTTTTTTCCCGTTAATTGAGTTAAGTGAAATCTTTGACCTGTGTTCATTTTATGTGTGAGTCATGCCTTTACCTGTTAGAAAATCTTTCCATCTACCATGGTCCGCCTGTGTGCACCTTCACCCCCTCATCCCAGTCTCCCTTTGGGAGTCCTGAAAATTGTGGGAGAGATGACTTCTTCCATTTTCTCTTCCTATTAGCAGCTGGTGTTTGATCTCCAAGGGTGCTGGGACCTTGCTAAGTCCCAAGGCCTAGGAATCCCCACTTCTCTGTGCACTAGCAGCAGAATAGCCCAGGGTCAAGGGCATGGGCTTTGGCGTCCGACTGTACTTCTTCCTAGCTGTGCATTGCTGGGCCATTTACTCTAGTAAGTTGTGATATGGGCAATATCAATAGAAACTGTACTAGTAAATCTGTGCAGACAGAGTAACCTCTGAGATTGACTCATTTCTATGGGTATCTCCCATATATATATGAAGCATTCATGTTAATATACTTCTCTTGCTCTTGTTAATCTGCCTTTTGTTATAGAAGTCTGTCCCAGCTAAGAACTATGAAGGGAAGAGAGAAAATTATCTTTTCCTTCCCTACAGATGCAATATTGTCTTCTTCCAAGGGGGACTCAGTGGCATTGCCACTGGACCAAGCTTATTTGCATTATTATCAGTTTCTCACAAAAGAGTTTGAATGAGCTCATTTAAAAACATGAAAAGGACAGACCCTGGTAGAATCAGATAAGCCATGCAGAGGGTGCACCTACTATTCCACTGAAAGGCTATCCAATGATCTCTTGTGCCCATATCAAAAGCTTTTCGAGTTATTCTTGAAAATCATGATTGCAATTGTCCATACGTTTATAGGCTGTAATTCACATGGTTGCCACCATGTCGTTGTCCAAGTTTGCAGTGCCTAACAGTTGAAGGAAGAAGCCTGCAGCAGGAATTATTTTCCTATTCCTTAAACCTCATCCCAGACTTCCCCCCTTTTTCTCCCCTCCTTCCCCGGGTTATAGACCCCCTTTATTTCTAGAGAAAAATCTACCCCTATTTTTCTTTCCCTCTGAGATACTTCTCTTTTCTTTTGACAGTAAACCTTGATGGCTAACTCATTAGCAACTGAAAAACTGCTTTCTCTTTCCTCCAGGGCAGCATGAGCTTAAACCCTCAAATTTTGTGAGGAGAGAGAAATTCTTTGCCCTCCATCCTTCAGGGAAGGAAAGGAAAGGACAGCAAAGAAAAAAAACAAACAAAATTATTTTTCTGCATTAAATTAAAATTTAATTAAATAAAATTAAGTAAGTTAGAATTCCATATTAACATCCTATCCAAGGCTTGCTTCAAATGTTACCTTCCTAAGGAGGTCTTCCCTGACCATATTATTTTAAATGGCAACTCCACAATCCCACTCATCTTGTAGCCCCTACTCAGCTTTATTCCTTATAAAGGGTTGCAGCCTGCAGGCTGGGAAGTAGAGCCTTGAGCAGAAACCGAAAGCAGGGTACAGAATTTGGAACTTATGCCAACGGGTTGGCTAAGGATACATATTTAACAGACTACAGGAGGAGCTATGAGTGTGCATGACAGGGAGCACTAGCATGTGTAGTAAGCAGACATGCATGTTATAAACATCCCATGTTCACTTTGAGATAGAGACTTGACATTTAAGTGCATGAAAATTCAGCTCTATATGTCAAAAGGTGTAAACAGGACACAGAGGCATCCTGTACATAGTCCCTGTAACCCGGCCAGAACCGGTCCATGGTTGGTGGTCTCTTATCAGGAAGAGAAGCTGGTCAGTGGTTTAAATTCAAGGTAGAGTAAGTCTTTTGAAAGGGCTGGTTTCTGGTTAATTCTTTTTTTTTTTAATTGCCTCTCACTTTAATGTGGAATCTAAAAGCAAAAATGGTCAAATGTATAGACATAGAGAATAAAACAGTGGAAAGGGGGAGATATAAGTCAAAAGATACAAAGTAGCAGATATGCGGAATAAACAAGTCTAGAGGCCTAATGACGAATGTGAGGACTGTAGTTAATAAAATTGCATTGAATTAGTAATTTTTGCTAAATAAGTCGATTTTAGCTGTTCTTGTCACAGAAAGTGTAACTATGTGAAATGATAGACATGTTAATTTGCTTCACTATAGTAACCATTTTCCTATCTACATGTATGTTGTAGATCTCAAGTATAAATGCTAACATTTATTTTTAAAATGGCTGAGGGAGTTTATCACCACTAAACCTGCTTTAAAAGAAATGCTAAAAGGAGTTGTTCTGAGTGGAAATAAAAGGATGCTAAAGTAACAACATGAAAACACATGAAAGTATAAATCTTCTTAGTAAAAGTAAATACACAGTCAAATTCAGAATACTGTGTTACTATCGTGGCGGTCTAGAAATCACTTTTTTCCTTCTACTTTAAGTTCTGGGATACATGTGCAGAACCTGCAGGTTTGTTACACAGGTATACATGTGCCATGGTGGTTTGCTGTACTTACCAACCTGTCATCTAGGCTTTAAGCCCCACGCGCATTAGGTGTTTGTCCTAATGCTCTCCCTCTCCTTGCCCCCCACCCCTCTCTGGATAACTCTTAGGAAAGCAAGCCTAATGGTGGAATGGTGGTTAGCAAGGGCGGGGGGCGGGGGTATAATAAGTCATGTTCAACCTCCTATCATGCTGGGAATTCAGTTTTCAAGGTTCCTTGGAGGTCCCTTTGGCCAAGAGGGGTCTATTCAGTCAGTTGAGGGGACTTAGAATTTAATCTTATTTCTCAGATGTCAACTCTATGTAGGCAGAGATTTTTGTTTCTTTTGTTCAATATCTCAACCCCACCACCTAGAACAATGCTTGACATATAGAGGTTCAATAAAGATTTGCTGAGGACATGAATGAAAATGGTCTGGACACTGACATCTGACATCCTTCCACACTTGACTTGCTGTCCTGTACACCAGGTTTCATGCTGCCTGTGATCCAACCTGTGATGTGCCCCTCTTCAGCTTTCTTCTTTCCTATACTGTTTCACTTAGCCTCTGACTATGAAAGCTGCCTGTGATCAGGAAGCAGGAAATGGAAGCTGAAGGTTGCAGAACTCCTGATACACAAATCAAACTGTTTGGGCCCAGACACAGAGCTAAATCTCAGCCCTCTCAAATTATTTCAGACACGCAAGCTCCAGGTTTCATGAGACCCACAGCAAATAAATTGGGGAGGAGAAGGAGGGTCCTTTAAGGAAAAACAAAAGGAAATTAGGTATCACAGTCTGGGTAGAGTGAAAAAGAAATCACATCATGTCTCTTACTAGAGTCTTCGAGTTGCCAATCCCTTTCTTCTGAGATCTCCTTAGACAGTTTCTCAGGGATGCTGACATAGTTGGGCTTGCTGGCTGTACCACGGCCTCCTCTCCTGGTTCAGTGGATGGAAGCAAGGACAGCACCTGGAAATCAGTTAGAAATACAGGATCTCAAGCCCTGTTGACATGGTTTGGACCTGTGTCCCTCTCCAAATCTCAAGTTGACATGTAATTCCCAGTGTTGGAGGTTAGGGCCTGGTAAAATGTTGATATGGTTTGGCTGTGTCCCCACCCAAATCTCATCTTGAACTGTAGCTTCCATAATTCCTACTATTGTGGGAGGGACCCATTGGGAGATAATTGTACCGTGGAGGCGGTTTCCCCCATACTGTTCTCATGGTGGTGGGAATAAGTCTTACCAGATCTGATGGTTTTATAAGGGGAAACTCCTTTTGCTTAGGCATTCATTTTCTCTTGCCTGCCACCATGTAAGACGTACCTTTCACCTTCTGCCATGATTATAAAGCCTCCCCAGCTATGTGGACATATGAGTTCATTAAACTTCTTTTTCTTTGTAAAATACCCAGTCTCAGGTATGTCTTTATCAGCAGCATGAGGATGGATTAATACAGAGGTGTTTGGAACATGGGGGCAGATCCCTCATGTATGGCTTAGCGCCATCCCCTTGGTGATGATGATGAGTGAGTTTTTGCTCTGTGTTCACACAGATCCGATTGTTTAAAAAGCATGTAGCACCAGCCCACCTCCCTCTCTTGCTCTCATTCTCACCATGTGACGTGCCTGCTCCAGCTTTGCCTTCCACCGTGAGTAAAAACTCCCTAAGACCTCACCAGAAGTAAATGCCTGCACCATGCTTCCTGCACAGCCTGCAGAGCCATGAGCTAATTAAACCTCTTCTCTTTACAAATTACCCACTCTCAGGTATTTCCTTATTGCAACGCAAGAGCAGCCCAACACAGTCACCCTAGACCCACTGAATCCAAGTCTGCCTTTTCTTTCTTTCTTTCTTTTTTTTTTGAGACAGGGTCTTGCTCTGTCACCCGGGCTGGAGTGCAATGGCACAATCTCTGCTCACTGCAACCTCCATCTCCCAGGTTAAAGTGATTCTCCTGCCTCAGCCTTCTGAGTAGCTGGGATTACAGGTGCAGGTCTCTATGCCCAGCTAATTTTTGCATTTTTAGTAGAGACAGGGTCTCACCATGTTGGCCAGGCTGCAAGTCTGCCTTTTCATAAGGCCCTGGGGGATTGATTCCTATACACATTTAAGGTGGGTTGACATAGACTTTGTAGTCTTATCAAATCCCAATTTGTCGCCTTAGCTCCTGCTAGGAGCCCTGATGTTGACATTTCCTCCTGTGATACATACTCAATGTAGTCAGATCTGTCATTGGCTAATGCTACAGGATGTCCATCTGAGGGACTAAAACACTGGAGTCCTCACTGAGGCATTGCTACTGTCCACTTGTCCTTTATCACATGACCGTGGTTCATCCTAGCACAGTCAAAAGAGGGAGTTGCTGTACTGAAATAGAGGACGAGTCAGTCTTTTAGGACTTGGGACACTCCTTGAGGTGGTGGGGGAATAGAGCAGAGGCCATCTGTCCCCTCATATTTTCTCAGGCCTTAGTATTACAGCCTTGGCCAGCACTTGTCCACATCTGAGGACATTCTTGAGCTGCTAGAACCCCTCCCTCTGCTAACAAAGTGGGTTTCAATACCAGAGAACGAATGCCCGAGGGTCCTCTCCCCATCCCATCCCACCCTGCAGCCCTCAGCCAATGGCTGATGAGCGTTGCAGCACAGGTGCATGTTCCACACTGGCTCCCAGGACACTTCAGCTGGATTGTGCCCCTGTTGCCCACAGTGGTTACTTACTGAAGGGCACCTCTCATGCTGGCATCCTTCCCTTCCCTGCCTCACTTCCCCCAATCCCTCATGAGTATTTCCTGGGATTCCTTTCCAAATAAACTACTTGGACTACAATCCTCATCCCAGGGTCTGCTAGAAGGGAAACCCCCACCTAGGATTTGGGGTGGAGGTGGGAGAGTTGCAGTGAAAATCCCAGGCTGCTTTTTAATTTTTCTTCCTCCACGAATCGTGACAGCATCTGCAGAACGAGACCACTTTCTGGGGAACCATTCAGCTCAGCACAGGCTAGAAATGCGGAGAGGACTGGAATGCGGACCTCCTGCTCACTGAGCAGGCAGGGCTTCAAACTGCCGTTGTGTTAACTCAGGGTTTCTCAACCGGGGCATCAGGACCAGTTTTAAATCTTTGCTCCCAGAGTCGGGGGTGCTGCTCTGTGCACTGTTGGATGTTTAGTAGCATCTCTGGCTCTTGCTCACTAGATGCAGCTCACACACACATACTGTTGTGATAACCAAATATGTTTCCAGACATTGCCAAATGTCCCCTGGGGGCACAAATCACCCCCAGTTGAGAACCACCGGGTTAACTGAACTCTTTCTTCTGAGCTACTACCGCAAACAAAACCCAGGCTGTTTCTCACCTGCTGTAAAACTTGCGGTCCTTTGCTTTACCTCTGCCGTGCCTGCCCTCTGCTCTGCCTGGCTTCAAGTCCTCATTATAAAACCCATTTGTCGCCGCTCCCTTTTTGAGGATTAATTTCCAGATTGTCTGCTGATGGTTAACTGAGATTGCGTTTAAAAAAAAAAAAAAGAAAGAAAAAAGAACCCAACGCATCAGCTCCCTGCTGGTCTCAGAATTCCAGAGTGCCCTCAAGTGGCCAGAAACCGCCATCCTCTTTGGCTCCCCTCCAAATTCCAGGCTGCTCTGGAAAGAGCTGTTGGGGGCAGGGACCTTCCCCTTGCTTGGTACTTCTAGAAAATCTGTTTTCTCACAAAGTGAGGAAAATTCAGCAGTGTCTCCTTCAGGCTGCTTCTTGGAACACGTTTTTGAGTGCATCCTGAGAGGTGGGCTGTGTGTGCATGTGTATGAATGTGTGTGAATTTCAAAGTGTGGTCAGTCATGAGGAAAGCAAAGGAAGTCAGTGCTCAGAGAAGGGGCTGCAGGCCACACCGCTGAGCTGGGCATGCATACATGATCCCTGTGTGCTGGCAGAGGGCAGTCAGGCCCTGTCAGCTGTCACAACAGGTGGGCTGCAGGGAGACCTCTGGGAAAGAGACCTCAGTCTTGATCTAAGTGGCCTCAGTTACCTGCAACCAGGTCACACAGACTCTGTGTTCTCTCTTGATTCACCATTTTCAGCATGTGGCAGCCACCCGAGAGAAACCAGGTCTAATTCTAAAGTTTTCCAGGCCTGCTTCAGTTCCCGAGAGTGCCTCTCCTAGAGGAATGCTTCCGGGAATGGGGAGATGACGGAAGTGCCTAATCGCAAAGCCCTGCAATATAATTTGTAGGAAGTAGGCAAAGTGCATACAAAATGAACATTAAAAGCTAAGGAGCTATTCAGGCTGGAACGATGAGAGGCTTTGAGCACAGGGTGGTCTTCCAGCCCACCTGTCACTCACCCTCTTCAGGACTAGGCGGGGACCACTCTGCTCTCTGCAGGCATATTTCGAAACCATTATAGCACAGAGAACTCAAAACAGGATTTTCACATGCATGAAGTTGCCTCAATGCTAACTCTCTGTGGGTATTCAGTATTTTCCACGATCACACTTCACTGTAATTGCATAGGGTCAGCTTCCTGGACAGACTGGAGGCTCTGGGGAAACGCCAAGGCCCCTGTCTCATTACAGGACAAGGGCACAGCACAGGGTCTGGCCTCCAGAGGCACACTGTCTTTATTTGTCAAAGGAATGCTGAAGTCAGAGATCAGTAGGATTTTGAAAGACCAAAAGAAAAGAGATGGAATTCACTTAAGGAAATGATATGCCCTGACAGAAATGTGCTGAGTCCGTTTGGGGAATAGTGAGAAGGCCCATTTTGAACTAGAGAAGATGGCTCATAAAATGAAACAGCGAGGAGTCATGCTGGAAGGTTGCTGAGGGTATTGAGGGGTAAGAGAACAACTGATCTTAATTTCCTAAGTCCATAAAATATTCACTAGCGATTGTTCATGTCTCACCTTCTTTTTCTTGATGACTATCTTATAATGTCTCTTTACCACCCTGAAATGAAATTCATCTTTTCAATATAACCCACCCACTTACAGAATTTTTAAAAATAAGTATAATAGTCCAACTCAAGTCTAAAGGAGAAATAAAAGAATTGTCATTTATAATATCATATGCATAGGTCTGTATTTATTAGGCAATGTAATGAAGTAGTCAGATGTTCGCAACTCAATATAGACAAATTTGAATATAAGAAATGTAAGACAATATTCAGCTGAATATTCGCACATGAGGAATCACTGTGGTGGTGAGAGCTGCAGCTTTAGACTGTTAACAGGTGTGTTGCTTCAGTACCTTAAGGAGACTTGCTATTGGCAATGTTATTTTTGAAGTGGAAAACAACTTTTGGCAAAGGTTCAAACATAACTAAGTACAACGATCCATTGATTTACACAGTAGTTGTGTTTCTAGAATCTATAATACATATTAAGACCCCGCGCAAAAAAAAAAAAATTGTTGTGCTAGTATGTCTGAAGAATTCAGACAGGGCACAGGAGGCAGGGCTTGTCTCTGTGATGTCCAGAGCCGTAGCTGAAGTCTAGAATCATCCGATGGCTTGACTGGGGCTGCAAGACCTACTTTCTAGGTGGCTCACCACACAACTGTCAAGTTGGTGCTGGCCGTCGGTAGGATGCCTCTCTCCCTGTGCAAATTTCCCCACAGGGCTGCTTGAGTGTCCTCACACCAGGGCAGCTGGCTTCCTCCAGAGTGAGCAATCCCAGAGAGAGGGGCAAACTGAAGCTCTTCTTTAACAACCCAGCCTCAAAAGTCACATAGCATCACTTCTATCACATTCTTTTCCTTAGAAGACAGTCCTTAAGTTTGGTCTGCATTCAAGGTGAGGAGTATTAGGCTCCATGCTTTGAAGGAAGAGGTATTAACAAACTCGCAGACATATACTAAAACCACGATAGCTCAGAAAACTCGCAACAGGGTTTTCAGCAACATTCAGTCTGCTCAAAATGACAAGGGATGGGTTGGGCGTGGTAACTCACACCTGTAATCCCAGCACTTTGGGAGGCCAAGGCAGGGGGATCACATGAGATCAGGAGTTCAAGACCAGTCTGGCCAAAATGGCAAAGCCCCATCTCTACTGAAAATACAAAACTATCTGGGCATAGTGGTATGCACCTGTAATCCCAGCTACTTGGGAGGCTGAGGCAGGAGAATCACTTGAACCAGGAAGCAGAGGTTGTAGTTAGCTGAGATCATGCCGCTGCCCTCCAGCCTGTATGACAGAGTGAGATTCTGTCTCAAAACATAAAAACCAAAAAAAAAAAAAAAAATTACATGGGATATAGGATCAAAATCCATAATTTGGGACAATCCCACATATTACAGAATATCTGATGCTCTGTAACCCCATCCCTACTCCACCTAATGCCAGTGTGAAATCCAAAAACACTCCCCACACTTTCATAATTCTCTCTCCTTGGGAACCACTGTAATGGATCATAAGAATAACTAAAAATTTGGGACAAGGAAGCAACAAAATCAGAGCCAGGTGTTACGTTTACTCCAGCAGCAGCATGCAGGAACGTCTTCCAATTACTTGTAAGATCCATGCATCACCCTCTGCCATCTCCCCCAGCCTCCCCTGGCACCAGTGCCCTTTAGGTTCCTCATATACGCTAAGCTCCCTTGTGGCTCAGGGCCTTTGCACCTATTGTAGATCTCTAGAACATTCTCCTCTTTCTCCCTTATGCCCACACCTTTTCACTCTTAGCATTTCTTTAGATAAATCTTCCTTCTTCTTTCCAAAGATACCAGATTCCCCTGGAAAGCACAGTTTTCCCAATTCAAGCACAAATTGCAGTTTTTATTTATAGACCTGTGTGATTATTTGTTTAATTTCTGTTTCCTTGTACAAAGGTAAGCTCAGTGATGGTAGAGGAAAGAAGGAAGGGAGGGAGGGAGGATATGAGACTCTTGCATTAGCCATAGAGCTGAGCAGCCTCCGATAACATGGAGAAGTTTACTATTCCTTTTGGGCCCCCTGAATGAACAGCCCCACATATCACTGGGTGGAAGGAAAGAGCAGGAAGGGCCCGTCCCTATTGAAATATTGGTGAAGATATATATCTAACTGTGCCAGGACACACATAAAGAGGCATACTAGCTCCCCAGTTTGCAATGAAAAACCACAGCTGCTAATGGTGGTGTTGCTAGGTTGTTCTGTCGAGCATGATTTTCTATTTCAATTACTGTGGTGGTGGTGATTTAGCAACCAGACTGTCTGAGAGATGCTCCTAGGAGGTTTGGTTGTAAGGCCGATCAGAAAGAGATGGCCTGAGTTGGTTTCTTTCTTTCTCTCTCTCTCTCTCTCTCTCTCTCTCTTTCTCTCTTTCTTCTCTCTCTCTATCTCTGCCCCCATTACCTTTTGCTGTTCATCCAAATAGACTCTCCAGTTTAGGCTGTGACCAGATCATCACTGTGGATAAGCTGTGCTTATTGGGGGGTGCCTGGGGGGTTAGGAATACTGGGCCATTGCTATAACCCTGAAGCAGGGCTATACATTATATGAGAACTCTTGTAATCACCACTGACATACAGAGGGTACTTACTGTGTGCCAGGCACCCTCATACAGAAACTTCCTGCTGGGTCTGCTCGGACACAATTTTGTTTCAGCCTCTTAACAGCCTAGTGGCTGCCATTGTTATCATCATCCCGTTTTACACCTGAGTTCACTGAGGTCAGAGAGGTTTTCAAAGAGCTTCTTAAGGTTAAAGAACTGGGACACAGCGAAACAGGAACTTGACAGAGATCCATCTGACTGCCCAGCCTGAGCTCTTAACATCACCCTGTACTGCTAATTCCTGCCCTCCTGCCAGCCAGGACTGACACTTCATCCCACTATCCCTATCATCATTCACGGGCTCTGCCTGTAGCACCCCTGAAGGCTTTGGGTGACTTCCAAGATGTGAGGAAAAATGCAGGTGCAATCTCCATTTCACTGCCTTACCCTTGAGACTGCCATGAAAGACTGCCTCTGGCATTCTGCAGGTGTGGGCTGGAGAATTTCTGTGACCTCCCAGAGGATAGAACTTGCATGTGGATCTGCCTGTAATGAACTCTCCTATCTTTAGAGCCCTCCGTAGGGGGACTTTTGTGTCAATTATTTAATTAGATATTCAGTGTTCTAAGTCTAGTCCCAAGTTTCACAGGCCTGCATGGCCCTTGTGGTAGCAGCAAGGGTGGCTATCACTGACGCTCACTGATCCCTGAACCAGACGCAGCCTTGGTAATGCCCTTGAAATCTATAGTCCAACTATGGCCCCTGACTTCTGCTCTTCTAGCTCATCCACTCATTGTATACGCTCCTAATTTTTGCATTCAGTTGGTTTCTATTTGAAATGCCTGGAATGGTCTGGTTTCCTAAATCCTGACGGATATGCCCTACTTCTGGTCCCTAAGATCCTGGGTCTTCTTCCTCTGTGATTTTCCCAACAGTATACACCAAAGCATCTTTTTTTTTGTTTTTCCAGTTTAAGTTATGTTTCTCTCTTCTTTCTTTTGCAACTAAAGACTCATGATCAGTCATGTATGTTATCTCATTTAAGCCTCCCAACAAGCTTTTAGATTAGATTTTATTAACCCTATTTTGTAAATAAGAAAAATGAGGCTCAGAGAGGTTAAGTGGAGGGTTCTGCCAGCTCTGTGTTATCTTCTGTGAATAAGAAGAAAATATCTGTTCCTGGAGAGTGAATTTCAAAATGGCACCCACTATGAGTGGGAGAATTACAAAAGGCACCCCTTCCTCTGGGCTGATGTGGTCCCAGCACCAGAGAGCACAGCATGATGAGCAGAGCTGGGGATGGATTTCTAGCTCACACATCCTATAGAATAAGCACAAAGGACAGGACACAACTGGCCATGGTAGCCTTAGTTAAATGTCTCACCCAAGCTTACACAGTTCCAAGTGGTAGGGATATGCTCTAGTCCCAGTTCTTTATTCCCTCTCTGTCTCATTTCAAACAACTGTACTGTACTGCTGGATAATACTCCAACATACTTGTTACTTAGAATTTAGATGTTTTCATGTTGTTGCTTAATGTTTCATATCTATCTGTGTATATTTATGGATATTTCTTAGTGCCTGGTGCTGCGCCTACACTTTGTGGCTGCTCAGTAAGTACCTACAGAATGAATAAATGAATGTGCTGTTTCCTCAAATAGATGGTAAATCATATAACAATCAGGGACAGTGGTTTCCATCCCTTTGACACCTTGATCCCTGATACTGTGTATTTGATATATCAGCAAATATATCTTTTTAATAATGAGGCTGATTGTATACTACAAGTGCTGGCAGAATTTGTACTGTTGCATCATGGAGTTCCTTTGAGAAAGCTCCATGGAGGATCCTGACTGAGCCTTGAAGAGTAACCTCTCCAGAGATAAATGAGAAGGGTATCCTAAGCTGAGGGAACAGCCAACAGAAATGCAAGAAAGAAGGAAGGGCATGGTGGGTTTAAAAGTGACAGTGAGGAGGTCGGCTCAAGTAGGAGAGCAGATATGTGTCGGGGGAGTGGTTGGAAATAAGACTGACTGAAATTAATCCCAATCCCACATCCAGCTCCACCATATGCAATTAACCCAGACCTCTGTTTACAGAGAGAAATTTGAAGCAAGGCCACAAAACCAATCCATCACAGTTCCCCAGGGACTCCAACCACAACCGATGACATGAACAACCATCAGTGTTCTTCAACTCGAAGAACTTGGGAAGACCAATAGCCATAAAAGACATCCTGTAATTAAAACTGCCAACCACTATCCATCTAATATTTCAGGCTATGTGGGAGTGCATGGGGCTGGGGAGGAGGAGGTAAGGGGGAGACAGAGCATGGCATGTTTTACAAACTCTAATCAGCCCTTTAGCCATACGTATACCTCTGATACCATCACAAGCTTGTACTCTGTCATACCAATTTTTCGTGACACAAATATGAGCGGTAATATTAGATGAACTGGTCAGGATCCTGACTGCCAAAATTAAAAGCATTTGGGGACCAGATTAAGTCCTAAAGAAAGCAAATTGTCCTTGAAACCAAGGAACCCAATGTCCTGGTGAGTAACTTCTGTGGTTTGATACCCAAAAATGTATGCCTAAATCTTGTCCATTTTAGTCCTCAGTTAGCCTGTTTCTGAAGAAGAAACTAACTCTCACCCTAAATCAGATAAGCATGGCTGAGTGCAGTGGCTCACACCTGAAACCCCAGCATTTTGAGAGGCCATGGCAGGATAGCTTGAGCCCAGGAGTTCAAGACCAGCCTAAGCAACATAGCAAGAAGACCCCATCTCTAGGAAAAGAAAAAAAAAATAAGTAGCTAGGCATGGTGGCATACACCTGTATGTAGTCCCAGCTGCTTGGGAGACTGAGGCCAGATCATTTGAGCCCATGAGGTCGAGGCTGCAGTGAGCCATAATTGCACCACTGCACTCCAGCGTGGGTGATAGAGTGAGACCCCGTCTCCAAAAAAATTAAAAAGTAATAAATGAGATTAGTAGTGTAAGGCTCTTGATATAGTTCCTGTCATAAAAGTGACAGTTCTGGAGTGGCCATAAGTAGCTGTTCTTTCCGCTCCTTCTCTTCACTAGCATGGTAATCTGGCCATCTCTGGCTAGGAACCTGTACATGCCAGCTAAGAGCAGGGGATAGCTACAGGTTAGGAGAGATCTCTAGAAATAGGAGTCTAGTTCATGCACTCATGCTTCTAGAATGTGCTCCACTCTTTATGTTCTCTGGTGCATCTGCCCATCCTCCCTGATTTTCTCTGGTCCATTCCTCATCCTTCCCCTGTTCTGCTCTGCAGCTCAGGGAGGCCAACACTTGGAGTCTGTTTCCCAGGCTCACATTCTAGCTGGTTTCCACTGAAGCTTAGTCATTTAGCGGCACTGGTGAGATACTAGAGAGTGAAAGGACAAACCAGGGCACTGTACTCTCTGCTCAGGGGACATCTTTGAGGTCAGCTGCATCCTCCTTTCTCACATGGCTCCAGCTCCCACCAATAGGCCCAGCAAGGTTCCAGCTTCTGCTAGGTGCCCCCAGCCTAGGAATGGTGGAGGCTCCCTGCACTTTCTCACCAAGTCCCGGTGCCTTCTCAGTCTCTTCCATCCCCTGGGGACCAAGATCTTGTACTAAATTGCCTCTGTTTTAAACACCTAGAGTGAGATTTGTTCCCCTGGTAGAACCCTGACTGATACAGCCTGACTAGGAAGACTCTAGTGCAATATCTCTATTAAGATTTTCTGGTGGGCCGGGCGCAGTGGCTCATGCCTGTGATCCCAGCACTTTGGGAGGCCGAGGCGGGTGGATCACGAGCTCAAGAAATCGAGACCATCCTGGTCAACATAGTGAAACCCCATCTCTACTAAAAATATAAAACATTAGCTGGGCATGGTGGCGTGTGCCTGTAATCCCAGCTACTCAGGAGGCTGAGGCAGGAGAATTGCCTGAACCCAGGAGGCAGAGGTTGCAGTGAGCCGAGATCGCGCCATTGCACTCCAGCCTGGGTAACAAGAGTGAAACTCTGTCTCAAAAAAAAAAAAAAAAAGATTTTCTGGTGGCTAGTATAACCAATGTGAATTTGCTCCACAAATCTCAGGTTAAGAAATGTCCTATTTTTGTATTTTCCTCTAATCAACTTAAAACATCCAGCCAGCCATGCAGGTGGGGGCTGGAGCCATGTGAGAAAGGAGGATGCAGCTGACCTCAAAGATGTCCCCTGAGCAGAGAGAAGAGTACAGTGCCCTGGTTTGTCCTTTCACTCTCTAGTATCTCACCAGTGCCGCTAAATGACTAAGCTATACACCAGGCCTCACCCTTCGTTCTCTGTATAAGAATTTTAGGCTCATGCAATCTTTAGGGAGCAGGCAAGGAGCTGGTCCTTGATGCACAGGATTTCCCATTATCATCATTCCTTCTATTTTATTACCATGCTGTCAATTTCAGGTTCTCTATCACTTATCAGAGACTTCTTTTCTGGGTGGGCCACAGAAATGTCCGTCCCAGTGGTCTCCTCTTCCCATCACAGCCTTGACCACAGGGGACCGTTGTTGGTGCTCTCAAGGCCACGGTGTTTAGTGTCCAGCCTCCCCAGCATGTCCTCAGAGGAACAGCTCCTTCTCAGGTACTGCATGGGACCACCACAGCTGTAGTGGAAGCCACTACCCCTCACTCCATCAGTATCCCAAAGCTAAGCCATGCCGAGTCCTTCCACCAAACACATGTCTGGCTCCACACCCTCACCATGGCCCTGGCAGAGCCCTCCACTGAGGGCTGCAGACTGGACAGTGCCCATAGATATATTCACTTTGCCTCTCAGAGTATATTTAACATTTTAAAAATTATTTGCAACATTCTAAAATCAGTAAGTTTTACACAATAGTCCAAACTTCCTTATGCTATTGAAATATCAGCAAAATCCAGCCACAGTGATCTCACATATCCTGATGCTGAGGATGGGGTAGAGCTGAGTAGCAGTGAGTGTGTCTGCAGGAGGGGTGCTCTCTCTAGGCTGGGTTCGTTAAAGGGGCCCAACCTGCCTGCCCAGGCACCAGGTATGTCAGCCCCAGTTCAGCCCTTGAGAACAGAGGCCTGTATCATTATTTCCCGGTGCTGTGCTCTCACACCCTAAAGTTCATCTGGTCTCAGAAGGAGGGAGAACAGAACAAAATAATTTCTCAAACTGGTGAGCCCATTAGGCAAGTAACGGAAAACCACAGCTCTCCTATTAGGTGAGTGCAAAAGTAATTGCGGTGTTTGCACTGTTGGAATTTGCCATTTGATATTGGAATACATTCTTAAATAAATGTGGTTATGTTATATATCATTTTAATGAGCATGTCTCGCTTTATGTATTTTTGCTAATGACTTATCACTTGCATTTATGTTATGTTTATTTTAGACTATGGAAATGATGTTAGACAAGAAAATTTGAGTGATTTTCTTATTTGAGTTCAAAACAGGTCATAAAGCAGCAGAGACAACTCACAACAGCAGCAACACATTTGGCCCAGGAACTGTTAGTGAACGTACAGTGCAGTGGTGGTTCAAGAAGTTATGTGAAGGAAACGAGAGGCTTGAAGATGAGCAGCGTCATGGCTGGCCACTGGGAGTCAACAATGACCAATGGAGAGCAATCATCGAAACTGATCCTCTTACAACCACTTGAGAAGTTGTCAAAGAACTCAGCATCGACCATTCGATGGTTGTTCAGCATCTGAAGCAAATTGGAAAGTTGAAAAAGCCCAATAAATGAAAAACCTCATAAAATGAAAAAGCTCAATAAAACGAAAAACCTCATGGGCTGAAAGTCAAAAATATCATCATTTTGAAGTGTCACTTCTCTTATTCTATGCAACAATGATGAACCATTTCTCAATCGGATTGTGATGAGCCACAGTGGTGGATTTTCTACAACAATTGGTGATGACCGGCTCAGTGGTTGGACCAAGAAGAAGCTCCAAAGCACTTCCCAAACCAAACTGCACCAAAAAAAAAGGTCATGGTTACTACAGCTGCCAGTCTGACCCACTACAGCTTTCTGAATCTGGTGAAACCAATTCATCTGAGAAGTATGCTCAGAAGATTGAGGAGATGCACTGAAAACTGCAACCCCCACCACTGGCCTTGATCAACAGAAAGGGCCCAATTCTTCTCCACGGCAATGCTCACCCGCACGTTGGCACAGCCCATCCTTCAAAAGTTTAAAGAATTGGGCTATGAAATATTGCCTCATCCACCATATTCACATGACCTCTCACCAACCAACTACCACTTCTTCAAGCATCTTGACAGCTTTTTACAGGGAAACAGCTTCCACAACCAGCAGGAAACAGAAAATGCTTTCCAAGAGTTCATTGAATCCCAAAACACAGATTTTTATGCTACAGGAATAAACAAACTTATTTCTCCTTGGCAAAAATGTGCTGATTGTAATGGTTCCTATGTTGATTAGTAAAGATGTGTTTGAACCTAGTTATAATGATTTAAAATTCACAGTCTGAAACCGCACTTACATTTGACCAACATAACAGTTTAAGTAGAAGATGGAAATTTATAAGGATATAGAGATGTCTCTGAGAACTAGGGGAGGAAACACACAAGTTCCTCAGGAAGGGACCAGAGCTGGCACTTCGAAAGTCCAGATTATCTTTCCATCTCTTATCTCTGCTGTGATGTTTCTGCTTCATGCTTTCCCTCTTCCTCTAGCTCCTTCTAGAAGATTGTCTTCTGCTTCTTGGTGAAAAATACTCCCCCTCATGGCTATCAGGAACGCATGGTGAAGATCCAGGCACGCCATGGGAACGACTGTCTCACTGGGTTCCACTTCCACATCCCCAGGGAAGGGACTCTGCTTGGCCCAATGTGATTCAAGAGCCCAATGAAAAGCAGTCACCTATAGCCATGGGAGAGGCCACATGTTATCCTGTGTCACCAAATGCGTGCTGAACTGAGGGGGTGTCATAAGAGCAGATTGTTGTCAACAGGGCAGACATTCTCAAAGTGTCTGCTGTGGGTGACTCTGGAGCAAGTAGAGAATAAAGTCATCCCCCTCTCCAGCCAAACCCGCCCCTCACAGCCCGTGTACCAAGGGTGGTCTGAGAACCTGGCAGAGAAAATGGCACCGTGAGCAAGACATGAAAAATTCATTGACTGCCTGCCTGTCTGTGAGGGAAGCAATGCCAAGCTTCATTCATGCTCATCATTAATTCAATCCCAGGCTGGACTCTTTGGCTCAGAGCTTTCAGTTTAAAACAAATGAGCTTAGATGTACAGTCAGCCCATGGTTGTCTGCAGGTGATCTATGCTGAAGCTGGCTTCTCTCTGGCAAACCCTCCTTTCAAAGTTATTGCCAGTTAACAGATTCTACACAGCCCTAACTACCCCTTGGAGGACATTTGGAGCTCGGGATTTGCAGTTAGCACCTTTCTCTGCTTAATTACAGCATTATAGATATCTCTGCACCCTCTATTTACTTTGCCTGCTGAGATGCGTGCTGAAAGCCAACCTCCACCTGCCTGGCTCCAGGGAAGGTTAGAGAGGCAGACCTTTCATCAAGCAGAGAATAAGCTGTCTGCCCCCAGGGAGCAGGGCTGGGAGGAGCTGGGTGAACACCAGGTGGGAAACTTGGCTCTCAGTTTCCTGCGTCTCCAGAGTCAAGTCCTTACCAAGTCTTTACCTCTTTTGTTCTTAGAATGTAAAATAATAGCTCATATTACTGAGTTCCTATTATGCGCTTATCACTTTGTTTGGTGGCCAGCCTCCAAGATGGCCCTCTGTCATTCTTACCTTCTGGTATTCATGCCCTTGGGTAGTCCCTTCCCACAATGAACCAGAGCTGACCTGTGTGATGAGAAGAATACTACAGAAGGAACAGTATATGATTTCTGATGTTATGCCATAAAAGACATTGAGGCACCTGCCTTTGCCTCTTGGATAGCCTGCTCTGGTGGAAGGCAGCCGCCATATTGTGAGGGCACTCAAGCAGACTTCAGGAAAGGACTGTGTGGAGAAGAACTGATGCTTTTGGCCAATATCTAGCACCAACTTGCCAGCCATGTATGTGAGTGACCTTGGAAGTAGATGCTCCCGCCCCTATTAAGCCTTCAAATGATCCCAGCCCCTAGCTTCCAAGTCTTCCAGCTGCAGCCCCAGAGAGTAGAACAGAGCTAAGCTGCCCAACTATACTTCATCTGAATTATCCATGCAAACTGTGAGATACAATAAATGATTGCTGTTGTTTCAAGTCATTAAGTTTCGGGTGGTTTGTTACACAGCACAGACAACCCTTGTACAACATGGGTTTAAACTGTCCAGGTTTACTTATATGCAGGTTTTTCTCAATAAAATCTCCATTGAACATGCCTGCCTCTCCTGCTCCCCGCTTCCAGCTCCTCCACCTCTTCTGCCTCTGCCACCTGGATACAGAAAGGCCAACTCCTCCTCCTCCTCCTCCTCAACCTACTCAACTTGAAGACAATGAGGATGAAGACCTTTATGATTAATGAAGAGTGAATATATTCTCTCTTCTTTAAGATTTTAGTAACATTTTCTTTTCTTCAGCTGACTCTGTTGTAAGAATATAATCATGTATATGCTCCAATACATAAGAATACAAAATATGTTTGAATTGACTGTTTATGTTATTGGTAAGGCTTTTGGTCAACAGTAGATTATTAGTAGTTAAGATTTTGGGGAATCAAGTTACACACAAATTTTTCAACTGTGCACCTCTAGCCTCCATGTTGTTCAGGGTCAGCTGTAATAGACCACTAAGAAGCTCAATATGTGCTTTACAGCAGTGGTCCCCAACCTCTTTGGCACCAGGGACTGGTTTCATGGAAGACAATTTTTCCACCAATGGGGGTGTGGGGATGGTTCTGGGATGGTTCAAGAACATTATATTTATTGTACACTTTATTTCTATTATTGCTACATTTTAATATATAATGAAATAATTATATAATTCACCGTAATGTAGAATCTGTGAGATCCCTGAGCTTGTTTTCCTGCAACTAGATGGTCCTATCTGGGGATGATAGGAGAAAGTGACAGATCAGCAGGCATTGGATTCTCATAAGGAGCATGCAACCTAGATCCCTCGCATGTGCAGTTCACATAGAGTTTGTACTCCTATGAGAATCTAATGCCACAATTGATCTGACAGGAGGCAGAGCTCAGGCAGTAATGTGAGCAAGGGGGAGCAGCCGTAAATACAGATGAAGCTTTGCTCCCTCTCCCGCTCCTCACCTCCTGCTGTGCGACCTGGTTCCTAACAGGCCACAGACTGCTATTAGCGGTTTGGGTTAGGGACCTTTGCTTTACAGCATTATTTCCTGTAATCCTCACAACAGCTTACAAGATAGATGCTATTAGCCATCCACATTTCACACGTGAGAAAACAGAGGCACAGGAAGTTTTCTTTCTTGCCTACTCCACATAGCTAATCACCAGATCCATTGGTGGTTCATCCATATTGCCTCCATCTTCACCCCCCCAGTCCTTGCCACAGCCTACCATCCCACTGCAGGTACCTACAGTTCTCCATCTGGAAGCATTTCTCTCCACCCCCACATGGGGCAGGCCAGAACTCCTGGAGAGTGAATGCTTCCAGGAGCAGCCCTCAGCTACTGAAGGACACACATGAGTTGTACGATAAGCACCCCAGCTTCCTTTCCTTTTGGGTGGGATCACTCTGAGTCCTGCTTTACACAGTCTCCTAAGTTCTGTCCAGTAAGACGCAGCCTCAGTTGCCCTTAGTGGGAAGCTGATCAACAACACACCCTTTTTCAGCTGCCTTCCTTCACCATTAGACTCTTCATTTCCAGACAATGACTCTTGGGATCACCTACCAATGAACTACTTACATTCAAATCCTTGTCTCAGGGCCAATTTCTAGAGGCACCCAACCTAAGACATGTAAGAAATGATGGAACTGGAGGCCAGGAACAGTGGCCCATGCCTGTAATCCCAGCACTTTGGGAGGCCAAGGTGGGTGGATCACTTGAGGCCAGGAGTTCGAGACCAGCCTGGCCAACATGGTCAAACCTCATCTCTACTAAAGAATACAAAAATTCACTGGGTGTTGTAGTGCATACCTGTAATTCCAGCTAGTTGGGAGGCTAAGGCAGGAGAATCACTAGCAGCCAGGAGGCAGAGGTTGTGGTGAGCTAAGATTGTGCCACTGCACTCCAACCAGGGTGACAGAGCAAGACTCACTCTAAAAACAAGGAAGGAGGGAAAGAGGAAAGGAAGGAAGGAAGAAAGGAAGGGAGGGAGGAACAAAGGGAGGAAGGGAGGGAAGGAGGGAGAGAGGAAAGAAAAATGGCAGAACTGAGATTTGAACCAGACACTGACTCCCAAGTCAGCTCTCTGCACCATGATGCCATTGAGCCTTATGCAAGTCAAACTCTGGAGTATTCGTGACTCGTTTTCAAATGCAAATATACCCCACACCTAATCAGACTTAGGAATGATCTGCTGTTTGTGATTGGCCACATTTCTGATCTCTCTATTCATGGAAATCATTGAGAATTACCTAAGTAAATATGAGGCAGGGGAATATTATTCAATGTTGGTTTGCATTTTCCGCCCTGGTGTCAGATAGCCAAGCTCATTCTTAAATGCTGGCTTCATATTTTCAGGGCCAATGAGGTGGAGCCAGCTTCAAGAAAAGAGTTGGCTTCTCTGGGTTTCAGTCAGGGACTCCTTCTGTCATGGAGGGTCGTGAGCAGGAGCAGACCAAAGCCCTGGAGACCAGCAGGAGCCTTTGCCATAGCTGGAACACAACTACCTAGGCTCATTTTTCTCCTCATTTATTCTTTTGAAAGCATTAATGCCTTCAGAAGCCTCAGTGGAGTTGACCAGGCAGCCAGAAGCTCCAGAAATCCACCTGGCTCTAGAGAAAGCTTCCCCCAGTTGAACTCAGGCTTCGCCTTCCTAATCCGGGAACACTCTCCCAACTCACAGACACTACCACTGTCTGTCTGTATCTCTCCTTGCCCGCGAGGTCCAAAACCTCTCTCCTAATGCCATATTCAGAGCTAACCTGGGGAGGTCTTTCCCTTTCTCTTAAAAATGAAAAGAATTGAGTAGAAAGGAGAGGAACAGTGGAAGAGGGATCTATCTCAGGCAATCTTTGTCTAAATTAGCATTTCCAGTACCATCATCCACTGGCCCCTTGTGCCTGGAGAGACGGTGATAGGAGTTCTATAGCCGAACAAGTTTGGGAAATACTGCACGTGAAACCCCTTTTTGACAATCAATAAGCATATTAGCATAGTAAGAGCTCAGACAAGTCCCACAGCCAGTAAACTAATATTAGTTTTTTGGGACAGGGTCTTACTTTGTTACCCAGGCTGGTGTGCAGTGACATGATCACAGCTCACTGTAGCCTTGACCTCCCAGGCTTAAGCCATCCTCCTGCCTCAGCCTCCTGGGTAACTGGGACTATAGGTGTGCACCACCATAACAGCTAATTGTTTTATTTTGTGTGTGTGTAGAGATAGAAAGAGCAAGACTTTTGCCCAGGCTGGTCTCAAACTCCAGGGCTCAAGTGATCCTCCTAAAGTGCTGGGATTACAGGCGTGAGCCATCACACCCAGCCAAGAAACAAATTTTAGTCCAGTCTTTTTCAAAAATATATGACTACCCATCCCTCGCACTTTTTAAAGTGGAACACCTGTTAACATCTGGTAGAGCACTCACGTTCCATCAAACAGTTTGGCAATCGTTGTCCTAAATTTTCTAATCACTGCCTACAACAGGATTTTGCTGATACCCATTCAGGCTGGGCATCCTGTTTGTGAGATAATTAAACAGGCAAGGCCACTGTCCTCCGAGTGCCTGCCAACCTTTCCAGATTGCTGGGAAGACTGAGTATCTGAGTGCTGAGCGAAGTACGAAGCCTCACAGATGTCTGCTATTGTTACTGCTTGTCAGCTCTCAATTGTGGTTTTGTTTCTAAGGATTGCTAATAAGGGAGCTTCTAATAACTCTGGTCGGGGAAGTGTCAGAAAGTAGACTCTGGGATGCAGGGTGTGCCCAGTGTGCTTTTGAGGTCTACATGCAAGGAAAGGAGGAGGAAGCTGGACTGGGCGGAGGGAGAAGCTAGGTTGCAATGCACCCTCAAGGGTTAAGGCTCACCCAAGGGGCACTCTGGAGCTGGGCTGGCCATTCAGTCTCATTCCTAGTTGGGGTGAAGGGAATGAGCCTTTACCTCTGCACCTTGATCAGTCATTAGATACAACGCCCATCTACTGGACTCATCAGAGCCAGTCCATGCATCTGGCTACCAGCCGTCAGGGAGTAAGTCCTTCATTCCTGAAGGGGGACTAGGTGATGCACCACAGTGTCCACACAGTAACATTCCACAAGTTTCAAGGAGATAAACATTCCATTACTTGACCTCTTAGAATATCAGGTGGCAATCCAATCTGACTCTTTACTGATTTGGGGAGTTGATGCACGTCTTGCTTTCTGGAACTGACCTTTCAATACCAAACGGGCACATGTGTGGAGAGATGCCAAATCAAAGCCTCCCTTTGACGTGTGGCCATTAGGGAATGCCAGATTGCTCTACTAGTAGAGCCATTTTCTCCTTTCAATTAGCTAAAGGGCCTCTCAGTTTTTTTTCCCCGACATACATACATGTTGCCTTCTAAAAATGGACTTCTGTCTCCGTTTTCTTTGTAGGGAGTTGTGCTGGGCATTCTCCCACTTTTCCCACTCCATTCTGTGCCTTAGGTGGGGCTGATCTCCATGGCTGCCTCAGTGAGCTTCTCTTCGGGTTCAATGGTATGCACCAATAGGAGAATGACGGGGGCGGGGGACAGAAAGAGATTGGGGTGTTTCCTCCTCCTGACTCCCTCAGTCCCTAGCTAAGGGCAGAGGCTGCGCCCCTTTATGAAGACCACAGTTCCTCTCAGCTCCATTGTTGGAGTCACGGCTCTTGTTAGTTCCAGGAATCGTTCCTTTTCCTTAGTCCTTCAGGCTTGGGTCTGTGGAAAAGGAAGCAGCTCCTCTCTGGCATTCACTGGGCCATGCTTCCTTATTCCTCTGTGGTTTCCGTATACCTCCATTTATGAGCTGAATCTTTATGAACATCTTCTTAGTCACCCTTTGAGCTTTTTCTGCCAGAACCCTGACTGGCACACACCCCTAACCTATTGTCCAGAATGAAATAGCTTCACCCAGGATCTCCCAAGATTCCTGAAAGGCCAGGAAGCAGAGAGACTCTGTAAGTCTTTGTCCTTGGAGGTCTACATTGAGGTCCCTGAAGCTCAGCACTCTGGGCTCTTCTCTGCTTTCTCTCCATTTTATCTTTGATCTTTAGAACAATGTTTCTCAAGCATTTTAAAAGGCACGCTGCCCTTTCAGAATCACTCAAAGACCTACTTTATCTGGCTCTTCTGTGTCCCTCCCCTCCTGTCATTCTTCAATAAATGTCTGTGGCCAGATGCA